AGGTTTCTGGCCATCTTCTTGTCATCGATGCCGAGGTTGGGTGACTACACTCTCCCGTCTTCGCATGGGGCACACTCGTCTTACTCACGGGTATTTTATGGAGAGGCGCCCTATTTCACTCTGTGGGAATTGTCAGCTTCCAGTTTTGGTTAGTCTGTTGGACTGTCCGGTCTATCACCGAGCACGCAGAATTTACCTCCGACGTCGTCACAACTCTAACGCCCTTACTTTATCTTCCCTCCTTCCTGACAGCCCCACCTTTAACTCAGACTCCCTTGTTGACTACTTTTTTAACAACTGATTTACCACACAAACTTTGATGATACTTCCTTTACAACCTTACAACCTTTTAACTCTCCCTCTGTTGTCCTCAACACCCTTGCTTGCTGCTCTATGATCCCGCACTATCCCCTGCTCTGCTGCAATGTATGACTTGTAGGTTTAGTGCTTCTTTATATTATAATAATAATGAACAAGTTACACAGGCAATGAACCATTCACACGTCTACACAAGATCACATTTGCAATGAGTTATTAATGCAAATATTAGCTTTATTTACAGTGAGCAAAGTTAGGGTATTTTTCCTGAATGGTTTGTAATATACCACTGTGGATAAAATACTTTGACATATCTTCAACATTTCTGAGTGAGTTGTCTCTGAATTCATTAATTTTATCGCACTGCAGCACATAATGATACAAGGTGTGACAATAGTTCATCTGGCAAAGTTTACATTTCATTTGGTCTACATCTGGTGGTGATGATTTAACCTCCCAAAGATCCTTGTAACCCAGCCGGAGTCGGGCAGTAGTATTCCCACCAGCCGAAGTCGGGCAGTAGTATTCCTACCAGCCGGAGTCGGGCAGTAGTATTCCTACCAGCCGGAGTCGGGCAGTAGTATTCCTACCAGCCGGAGTCGGGCAATAGTATTCCTATCAGGGAAGCCTCCACTAAGCCCTTTTATATATTTTAAATTGGCCGAGTCTAAAGATTAAAATGGTATAAAATACCGACAGGTTGTTAGGTAAGACACATATGCAACAGTTAGGTGTCTTTATTTCGAAACGTTTCGCCTACACAGTAGGCTTCTTCAGTCGAGTACAGAAAAGTTGATAGAAGCAGAAGAGACTTGAAGACGATGTAATCAGTCCATCACCCTTAAAGTTTTGAGGTGGTCAGTCCCTCAGTCTGGAGAAGAGCATTGTTTCAGACTACGGAACAATGCTCTTCTCCAGACTGAGGGACTGACCACCTCAAAACTTTAAGGGTGATGGACTGATTACATCGTCTTCAAGTCTCTTCTGCTTCTATCAACTTTTCTGTACTCGACTGAAGAAGCCTACTGTGTAGGCGAAACGTTTCGAAATAAAGATACCTAACTGTTGCATATGTGTCTTACCTAACAACAGAGTCTAAAGATTTTACCTTATAAAATATGTGATACACGCTGGTTAGCCAGTGTTGTGTGGATTAGACTGCTGGTTAGCCAGTGTTGTGTGGGTTAGACTGCTGGTTAGCCAGTGTTGAGTGTGTTAGACTGCTGGTTAGCCAGTGTTGTGTGGGTTAGACTGCTGGTTAGCCAGTGTTGAGTGTGTTAGACTGCTGGTTTGCCAGTGTTGTGTGGGTTAGACTGCTGGTTAGCCAGTGTTGTGTGGGTTAGACTGCTGGTTAGCCAGTGTTGTGTGGGTTAGACTGCTGGTTAGCCAGTGTTGTGTGGGTTAGACTGCTGGTTAGCCAGTGTTGAGTGTGTTAGACTTCTGGTTAGCCAGTGTTGTGTGGGGTTAGACTGCTGGTTAGCCGGGTTTTGTTTTGTATTAGACTGCTGGTTAGCCAGTGCTGAGTGTGTTAGACTGCTGGTTAGCCAGTGTTGTGTGGGTTAGACTGCTGGTTAGCCAGTGTTGAGTGTGTTAGACTGCAGGGTAGGCAGTGTTGTGTGTGTTAGACTGTTGGTTACCCAGTGTTATGTGTGTGTTAGACTTCTGATCATCCAGTGTTGTGTGTGTTAGACTTCTGGTCATCCAGTGTTGTGTGTGTGTTAGACTTCTGATTAACCAGTGTTGAGTGTTAGACTTCTGGTCATCCAGTGTTGTGTGTGTTAGACTTCTGATTAACCAGTGTTGAGTGTGTTAGACTTCTGGTCATCCAGTGTTGTGTGTGTTAGACTTCTGATTAACTAGTGTTGAGTGTGTTAGACTTCTGGTCATCCAGTGTTGTATGTGTTAGACTGCTGGTTAGCCAGTGTTGAGTGTGTTAGACTGCTGGTTGTCCAGTGTTATGTGTGTTAGACTGCTGGTTAGCCGGTATTGTGTGTGTTAGACTGCTGGTTATCCAGTGTTGCGTGTTAGACTGGTCAGCCAGGTTTCAGTGTTAGACTGGTCAGCCAGGCCTCAGTGTTAGACTGGTCAGCCAGGTCTCAGTGTTAGACTGGTCAGCCAGGTCTCAGTGTTAGACTGGTCAGCCAGGCCTCAGTTGTTAGACTGGCAGCCAGGTCTCAGTGTTAGACTGGTCAGCCAGGCTTCAGTGTTAGACTGGTCAGCCAGGTTTCAGTGTTAGACTGGTCAGCCAGGTTTCAGTGTTAGACTGGCCAGCCAGGTCTCAGTGTTAGACTGGCCAGCCAGGTCTCAGTGTTAGACTGGTCAGCCAGGTTTCAGTGTTAGACTGGTCAGCCAGGTCTCAGTGTTAGACTGGTCAACCAGGTTTCAGTGTTAGACTGGCCAGCCAGGTTTCAGTGTTAGACTGGTCAGCCAGGTTTCAGTGTTAGACTGGTCAGCCAGGTTTCAGTGTTAGACTGGTCAGCCAGGCTTCAGTGTTAGACTGGTCCAGCCGGGTTTCAGTGTTAGACTGGTCAGCCAGGTTTCAGTGTTAGACGGGTCAGCAGGTTTCAGTGTTAGACTGGTCAGCCAGGTTTCAGTTTTTAGACTGTCAGCCAGGCTTCAGTGTTAGACTGGTCAGCCAGGTTTCAATGTTAGACTGGTCAGCCAGGTTTCAGTGTTAGAATGGTCAGCCAGGCTTCAATGTTAGACTGGTCAGCCAGGTTTCAGTGTTAGACTGGTCAGCCAGGTTTCAATGTTAGACTGGTCAGCCAGGTTTCAATGTTAGACTGGTCAGCCAGGTTTCAATGTTAGACTGGTCAGCCAGGCTTCAGTGTTAGACTGGTCAGCCAGGTTTCAGTGTTAGACTGGTCAGCCAGGCTTCAGTGTTAGACTGGTCAGCCAGGTTTCAGTGTTAGACTGGTCAGCCAGGTTTCAATGTTAGACTGGTCAGCCAGGCTTCAGTGTTAGACTGGTCAGCCAGGCTTCAGTGTTAGACTGGTCAGCCAGGTTTCAATGTTAGACTGGTCAGCCAGGCTTCAGTTTTTGACTGGTCAGCCGGTTTCAATGTTAGACTTGGTCAGCCAGGCTTCAGTGTTAGACTGGTCAGCCAGGCTTCAGTGTTAGACTGGTCAGCCAGGTTTCAATGTTAGACTGGTCAGCCAGGCTTCAGTGTTAGACTGGTCAGCCAGGTTTCAATGTTAGATTGGTCAGCCGGGTTTTTCAGTTTTTAGACTGGTCAGCCAGGTTTCAGTGTTAGACTGGTCGCCAGTTTCAATGTTAGACTGGTCAGCCAGGCTTCAGTGTTAGACTGGTCAGCCAGGCTTCAGTGTTAGACTGGTCAGCCAGGTTTCAGTGTTAGACTGGTCAGCCAGGCTTCAGTGTTAGACTGATATCCACAAGATTTACAAACGTTCAAGTGACGTTGTAACTAAGATTCATAACATTTTACAAAAAGATACGAAACTCGCACTAAAGTTCATAAAGATACAGATATATGAATGTTGCAACAACCAGTGATGGAAGTGATATTACCAAGAATGTGTCTGTGTGGAAGTTTTGTGTCCAGGACGGTTGTTCTCCCAGTTTATAAACTCGCCCCTCGGGGCAAAAACTACACAAAAATATTATGTTCTATATACACCCAGGATGGCTACTGCTTCCTTCTTCAGTCACATGAGAGAATAATGTAGAACCAGAAGCTAAACATAATTATCTTTATAGTTAAATCTCAGCACCTGCCCCTTCCCATCACTGGCGAGGTGAACTTCACTAACACCCCAAACACTTGCAATAACACACATTTTCTGAAAATATACGGTAATATATTTTTTGAATAAATAATTTCTGAAAACATACGGTAATATAATTTATGAATAATTTCTGAAAACGTACGGTAACATAATTTTGAAATTAACCTTTCAAGGCAGGTGAAATTGCCGACCTAGAAAATGTACAGAGAACTTTCACGGCGCGCATAACGGAGATAAAACACCTCAATTATTGGGAGCGCTTGAGGTTCCTAAACCTGTATTCCCTGGAACGCAGGAGGGAGAGATACATGATTATATACACCTGGAAAATCCTAGAGGGACTAGTACCGAACTTGCACACGAAAATCACTCACTACGAAAGAAAAAGACTTGGCAGACGATGCACATCCCCCCAATGAAAAGCAAGGGTGTCACTAGCACGTTAAAAACCATACAATAAGTGTCAGGGGCCCGAGACTGTTCAACTGCCTCCCAGCACACATAAGGGGGATTACCAACAGACCCCTGGCAGTCTTCAAGCTGGCACTGGACAAGCACCTAAAGTCAGTTCCGGATCAGCCGGGCTGTGGCTCGTACGTTGGTTTGCGTGCAGCCAGCAGCAACAGCCTGGTTGTTAGGCTCTGATCCACCAGGAGGCCTGGTCTCAGACCGGGCCGCGGGGGCGTTGACCCCCGGAACTCTCTCCAGGTAAACTCCAGGTAAACTCCAGGATTTAAAAAAAGTGAATGTAATCGTCTTGGTTGCGGAGGATGACAGAGCATCGAGTGGAATATACAGTCGTAAAGATTTTTATTGTGAGTTTGTAATTACCTGGAAACCTTCATTGAAAAATTTGCCTATCAAGCAAGAGTTTTGAAGAGGCAAAAAAAGTTAAGTGTGAGAAGTGTCAGGTGTGGCAGTGGGGTAATGATGTGAACACTTTGCCACGCTTCCCAACCAGGGGTATATATGTGACAGAAGAATATCACTTGTTTATTAACTTCTTAACTCTTGAAGCAATAACTGACTCATATAACTACAAGTTGGCCACCATGAAGTTCCTGATCTTCTTAGCTTCCCTCAGCCTCGCCTGGTAACATTCTCATCTTGACTTATGCTAGACAATGCTTAAGTTTTATTAATATGACTTAAAATTCTCTTTAACAGAGACAGTCTTGTTGTCATGAAAATCTAACAAGGACAGGTTTCCCATGTTGTTTAATTACTACAGTAAAGTCTTGCCTTGTTACAGGAAGATCAATCCTCACTCTTATATTGTTTACCACTCTCCCTCACTCACAACTCTGGCTGCTTCTCCCTCACTCACAACTCTGGCTGCTTCTCCCTCACTCACAACTCTGGCTGCTTCTCCCTCACTCACAACTCTGGCTGCTTCTCCCTCACTCACAACTCTGGCTGCTTCTCCCTCACTCACAACTCTGGCTGCTTCTCCCTCACTCACAACCCTGGCTGCTTCTCCCTCACTCACAACTCTGGCTGCTTCTCCCTCACTCACAACTCTGGCTGCTTCTCCCTCACTCACAAAATCTGGCTGCTTCTCCCTCACTCACAACTCTGGTTGGTTTCTCTCCTCACTCAAACTCTGGTTGGTTCTCTCCTCACTCACAACTCTGGCTGCTTCTCCCTCACTCACAACTCTGGCTGCTTCTCCCTCACTCTACAACTCTGGCTGCTTCTCCCTCACTCACAACTCTGGTTGGTTCTTTTCCTCAAATCACAACTCTGGGGTTTGGGTTTTTCCTCACTCACAACTCTGGCTGCTTCTCCCTCACTCACAACTCTGGCTGCTTCTCCCTCACTCACAACTCTGGTTGGTTCTCTCCTCACTCACAACTCTGGTTGGTTCTCTCCTCACTCACAACTCTGGGGTGCTTCTCCCTCACTCACAACTCTGGCTGCTTCTCCCTCACTCACAACTCTGGCTGCTTTCTCCTCACTCACAACTCTGGCTGCTTCTCCCTCACTCACAACTCTGGTTGGTTTCCTCCTCTCTCACAACTCTGGTTGGTTCTCTCCTCACTCACAACTCTGGTGTTCTCTCCTCACTCACAACTCTGTTTGCTTCCCCTCCTCACTCACAAATCTGGCTGGTTCTCCCTCACTCACAACTCTGGCTGGTTTCTTCCTCACTCACAACTCTGGTTGCTTCTCTCCTCCTCAAACTCTGGCTGGTTCTCCCTCACTCACAACTCTGGCTGCTTCTCCCTCTCACAACTCTGGCTGCTTCTCCCTCACTCACAACTCTGGCTGCTTCTCCCCTCACTCACAACTTGGTTGGTTCTCTCCTCACTCACAACTCTGGTTTGGTTCTCTCCTCACTCACAACTCTGGCTGCTTCTCCCTCACTCACAACTCTGGCTGCTTCTCCCTCACTCACAACTCTGGCTGCTTCTCCCTCACTCACAACTCTGGCTGCTTCTCCCTCACTCACAACTCTGGCTGCTTCTCCCTCACTCACAACTCTGGTTGGTTCTCTCCTCACTCACAACTCTGGTTGGTTCTCTCCTCACTCACAACTCTGGCTGGTTCTCTCCTCACTCACAACTCTGGTTGCTTCTCTCCTCACTCACAACTCTGGCTTGTTCTCCCTCACTCACAACTCTGGCTGGTTCTCTCCTCACTCACAACTCTGGTTGCTTCTCTCCTCACTCACAACTCTGGCTGGTTCTCCCTCACTCACAACTCTGGTTGCTTCTCTCCTCACTCACAACTCTGGCTGGTTCTCCCTCACTCACAACTCTGGCTGGTTCTCCCTCACTCACAACTCTGGTTGCTTCTCTCCTCACTCACAACTCTGGCTGGTTCTCCTCACTCACAACTCTCCCGGCTGCTTTTCCCTCACTCACAACTCTGGCTGCTTCTCCCTCACTCACAACTCTGGCTGCTTCTCCCTCACTCACAACTCTGGTTGGTTCTCTCCTCACTCACAACTCTGGTTGGTTCTCTCCTCACTCACAACTCTGGCTGCTTCTCCCTCACTCACAACTCTGGCTGCTTCTCCCTCACTCACAACTCTGGCTGCTTCTCCCTCACTCACAACTCTGGCTGCTTCTCCCTCACTCACAAAAACTGGCGCTTCTCCCTCACTCACAACTCTGGTTTGGGTTTTCTCCTCACTCACAACTCTGGTTGGGTTCTCTCCTCACTACAACTCTGGCTGGTTCTCTCCTCAACTCACAACTCTGGTTGCTTCTCTCCTCACTCACAACTCTGGCTTGTTCTCCCTCACTCACAACTCTGGCTGGTTCTCTCCTCACTCACAACTCTGGTTGCTTCTCTCCTCACTTTACAACTCTGGCTGGTTTTTCCCTCACTCACAAAATCTGGTTGCTTCTCTCCTCATCACAACTCTGGCTGGTTTTTTCCCTCACTCACAAATCTGGGTGGTTCTCCCTCACTCACAACTCTGGTTGGTTTTCTCCTCACTCACAACTCTGGCTGGTTCTCTCCTCACTCACAACTCTGGCTGGTTCTCTCCTCACTCACACTCTTGCTGGTTCTCTTCTCACAACTCTGGCTGGTTCTCTTCTCACTCACAACTCTGGCTGGTTCTCTCCTCACTCACAACTCTGGTTGGTTGTCTCCTCACTCACAACTCTGGCTGGTTCTCTTCTCACTCACAACTCTGGTTGGTTCTCTCCTCACTCACAACTCTGGTTCTCTCCTCACTCACAACTCTGGTTCTCTCCTCACTCACAACTCTGGTTGGTTCTCTCCTCACTCACAACTCTGGTTGGTTCTCTCCTCACTCACATCTCTGGTTCTCTCCTCACTCACAACTCTGGTTGGTTCTCTCCTCACTCACATCTCTGGTTGGTCCTCTCCTCACTCACATCTCTGGTTGGTCCTCTCCTCACTCATAAAATCCCTTAAGACAGGTCTGTGACAAATGACTCAGTGGTGCTGTTAACCTTATCATGAGAACGAAACAAGACGCAACCCCTGGCATGTACTGTAGTTGGTGGTGTTCAATAACACAAGACCCAGGGTATAAACACCAAGATATGTATACACTGAGAGCTTCCTTTAATCTTTATATTAATATTTGAAGTATTTTTGATTGATGGTGTACAAGTGAGATGCAGACTTAAGTAACCTTGTGCAGTATATAGGCTTCAAGCCTAACTAGCCGATGACTCAAGGTGAATCACGGTAGAGTAATCCTTGACTTACTGGTTGGTCGTCACAAAGTATTCTCCCTCTCCCAGTACACTAATAACCCTCCCATGTTATGGTTCTTACACATCTATCAGACATACTAGGTGAAAATTGGACAGCAAATCTTTGTTTATTGTGGATTGTATTGCTGTTGACACTACACACCTTTCCTTGTCAGGGCCCAGGAGGAGTACCACTGCCACTGTGCTACCTTCATCACAACAGAGGAGGGAGCAGAGCTGGTGCACAACCTGCCAGAGTTCATTATGGATAGCTGCGAACACTTCGAGGAGTGTGAACTACACTGCTCTGAGGAGGTAAGAACCTGCCTACACTGAAATTATATTAAACGGAAAAACAGTACACAAAATAGATGAGAAATGTGTAAGGTTTAGTGTACAAGCTCTATTATACACCTCATTAACATCCAGTGGCTGGTAGTCAGTAGACTGTAAAGGTACATAATGGGTCCAGGAAATGAGCCCCAGTATTTAGACAGCTAATCAAGTGGCATTAATGGTGTTTTCTAAACACTAGGAAACAATCCAAGAAAATTTCTGCTCACACACAGATTATTGCATATCTGTGCATCGTCCATAAATGTTTGATACCTCTTACTAAGACTATATAATTAAGCAGCAGTTCTCTTTTTACTGTACTCACTAATGTAACCTTAATACTACTCTCACTTTACTTTTGAACACACAGACGCTTCAGTTTGGTGTGTAGGTTTTACACTATAATATTCATGGACACGATTTTCATACTGTGCCTGACTCACTCCTACCTTGTCTCATTCACTGATAACCTATTATATATATATGTATATATTTTTTTTTTTTTTTTTTTTTTTATTATCACACCGGCCGATTCCCACCAAGGCAGGGTGGCCCGAAAAAGAAAAACTTTCACCATCATTCACTCCATCACTGTCTTGCCAGAAGGGTGCTTACACTAAAGTTTTTAAACTGCAAAATTAACACCCCTCCTTCAGAGTGCAGGCACTGTACTTCCCATCTCCAGGACTCAAGTCCGGCCTGCCGGTTTCCCTGAATCCCTTCATAAATGTTACTTTGCCCAACTCTCAACAGCACCTCAATATAAAACCATTTGTCCCATTCACTCCTATCAAACACGCTCACGCATGCCTGCTGGAAGTCCAAGCCCCTCGCACACAAAACCTCCTTTACCCCCCCCCCCAACCCTTCCTAGGCCGACCCCTACCCCCCCTTCCTTCCACTACAGACTGATACACTCTTGAAGTCATTCTGTTTCGCTCATATGTATATATATATATATATATATATATATATATATATTATTTTTATATAATATATTATATATATATAATTTGAATATTTTGTTATATATATATAATATATATATATATTATATATATATTTTAAATTTTTTATATATAATTTTATATAATATATATTATATATATATATATATATATATTATTATTTTTATATATATAATATAATTTCAATATTTTGTTTATTATATATATATATATATATATATATATATATATATATAATATTAAATATATATATATAATATATATATATATATATATATATATATATATGTCGTGCCGAATATGTAAAACTGGTCAATTAGCAAGAACTTGTTTAAAATTAAGTCCTTTCTGAAATTTTCTCTTATACGTTTAAAGATATATTTTTTTTCATTAATGTTAACGTAAAATTTTTTAATTTTTGCACCAAAAGAATCTTAGGAAACTTACCTAACCTTATTATAACCCAAAAGCAATTTATTTTTGCCTAACCCAACTAAATATATTTTAATACGTTTACAATAAATTTTTGTACTAAACAAACACAATCAAATGTATTTTTTTCGTTAGGTTCAGAATGATTTTGGCGAAATTATGGCATACACAAATTTTCACTTGTCCCATATGGCAAGATGAGCGTTGCTATTTAAGCCAAGATCGCAAGTTCTGCCTATTCGGCACGACATATAATATATATATATTATGTCGTGCCGAAAATGTAAAACTGGTCAATTACAAGAACTCATTTAAAATTAAGTCCTTTCTAAAATTTTCTCTTGTACGTTTAAAGATATATTTTTTTAATTAATGTTAATGTAAAAAATTTTAATTTTGCACCAAAAGAATCTTAGAAAACTTACCTAACCTTATTATAACAAGAACAATTTATTTTAGCCTAACCCAAGTAAATATATTTTAGATTTGTTTACAATAATTTAATACTAAACAAACACAGTGAAATATATTTTTTTCGTTAGGTTCAGAATGATTTTGGCGAAATTATTGCATACATAAATTTTCACTTGTCCTATATGGCAAGATGAACGTTGCTATTTAAGCCAAGATGGCAAGTTCTGCCTATTCGGCACGACATATATATATATATATATATATATATATATATATATATATATATATATATATATATATATATATATATATATATATATATATAAAATATATATATATATATTATATAATTTGAATATTTTATATTGTTTTGTTGGTTTGTCATTATATGTTTGTAGCAAACTTTACATGACAGTTATGTGGAACTCGTGAAATAATGGTACTGATATTAGTTACGATGTGTCACAGTTCATTGAACTGACCAACGGAGGTGACCTGGACCACGTGACGGAGGATGGCAACATTATTGGTCAGGTCGCTTGTGACACCCTGGCTGCCGAAGGTTACCTTGATGTTGAAGCCAGCGAGGTCAGTCTCTTTCATACATCAATATTAATTCATATATATTAATGTATCAGTATTAATACATCAAGTTATTATCACAGTCATAAGTTGTTGTTGTTGTCTTGGGAATATAATGCACCTGAATTATCTTGAACTAAGTCATTGTAGCCAAGATTAATGTAGATCAAACATCAGAGTAACTTTAGCTGCATAAATGAGATGAAGAAACAAATATTCAATATACCTCAGTGATATTACTGACGTTGTTCTCTGTGCAGGTGTACATGTACAGCAGCATCTGTCACGGTCCCTGGCTGTACAACGGCTTCAAGAGCCAGACACCATTATGCTGTGTAGGAGGAGAATACGAAGCTTGCCCATAACTCAATTCCTTCTCCTCTTCCTCCTTCTCTTCTTCCTCTTCATCTTTTTCTTCTTACTTTTCCTCTCCTGTACGGATGCACAACAATGGATAACCAGATGAAGAGGTCTTCACCCAGTCGTCACACGCACTACAGCTTACAGACTGCTTCAAGCAGGACAGGAACCAGGCAGCGACTCGGAATTATTCTTCATGATATCCCAACGCTGTACAACTGTATCTAAAAGAAAAATATATACCTGGAGTATACCTGCAGAGGGTTTCGGGGGTCAACGCCCCCACTACCCGGTGTGTGACCAGGCCTCATGGTGGATCAGGGCCTGATCAACCAGGTTGTTACTGTTGGCCGCACGTGACCCGACGTACGAACCACAGCCCGTCTGGTCAAGTACTGACTTTACGTGCCTGTCCAGTGCCTTCTTGAAAACAGCCAGGGGTCTATTGGTAATTCCCTTTATGTATGCTGGGAGGCAGTCGAACAGTCTTGGGCCCCTGACAGTTATTATGTTGTCTCCTATCGTGCTGTTGGCGCCTCTGCTTTTCATTGGAGAGATGTTGCATCTCCTGCCTAGTCTTTTGTTTTCATAGTGAGTGACTTTCGTGTGCAAGTTTGGTACTAATTGCTCTAGGATTTTCCAAGTGTATATAATCATGTATCTCTCCCGCCTGCGTTCTAGGGAGTACAGATTGAGGAACTTTAAGCGTTCCCAGTAATTTAGGTGTGTTATCGCAGTTATTTGTGCACCTGTTACGTGCATATTGTAGTTATGTTACTGTGGGCTGTATGTCCTCTGGTAACGTTTTCAGACATTTTGCATGTTTTCATGTTGAACTTTATGTGATGGAAGTACCAAGTACCAGTTGATACCGATAGTTTTAAGTAAAAGACATGTATGTACTGATCAATAATTAAGTGCATACATATTTCTCCGTGAATGATCCAACAAGAATGTTAATCTTTAGGAGCATTAAATACTAAAATAAAAAAAATCGATCGTTTACTAACCAACCCAAAACTGTAGTCTGGATTAATCAATATTTACTTTATAACCAGACACATCAAGACCAGTCATTGATCAGTGTGGGACATCCCCCAGATAATTGTAGTTAATTTCGTAAGAACTACTAATTAGTCTGTCTAAATCTTAAGTAACTTTTAAGCATTAGGATTAGTTTGTCAGAAATTGTATATATATATTAGTGGCTGTCTTTTGTGCCTACCAAAATTTTCTTACATGTAAACTACATCATTTGTACCGCATAAAAAAAATGTATTTATATATGACTAATCAGTATTCAGCTTGTGGCCAGCTCACAGATATTGACCAGTCAGCAGATGTCTAACGGATAAACCCCCAAGCTCGGTTTTTTATTATTTTATATAAAATAAGGTTAGGTTCATACCCGATCGAATGCACAGGACTGCAGTTTTCCTGTACACTGACATCAAAAATACTTTTTTCCTTAAAACAGAGATGAAAGTATATTTTCAGTGTACATACACTTGGTTGTAACGTCATCAGCTCACTCGATATTCGGGCTCGATCCCCCGGATATTGAGTGAGCTGATTGTAACAAATATTGTAAAATATTAAGACCACAATGGAAATAAGACGGACTGTCCCCGATGACGCACTGACTTCATTGGCTAATTCTAGGTAGCTAACACTCCGGGTTAACAGTATAAATTTTTTTTCTCTCTTCATCACGGTTTCAGGAATTAACGTATTACAAATATTAATATATATGTAAATTGCAACCTTATTTACCCCATGCAATCGATACTCGTGCAAATTTAGACGTTTTTCGGTTACAAAGCAAACGCGTTGCCAGACGTGTGGCGGATGCTTTTTATTTTGCTTATAATTTAATGTACATTTTTATAGGATTATGTAACCTAACCTCGCACAACCTAATCAAATCTGTTTTTTTTTTTTCATAAAATAACCCAAAATAGAAAATATTATTATAGACTTCTAGGAAACGTTAGAAAATCGACGTTGGGAACCTCATAAGAAAATTACTGTAGATAGGGTACGTACAATATTTGTTAGAATCAGTTTTTGAGTTTGTGCCACCTAGCGGACTGTGTTTTGTGTACCCCGTTCTAATCCTGTGACCAGTAGCGCGATTAAAACAGGATTACAGAGGTCACAGTGTGTCTTGATTATGTTCAGTGAATATTGTTACATCAAAAAAATTAGTCACTTCATATATTACTGTTACTTCATACAGCTAATGTACACATACAGTATGTGATACAATCTCAGAAATCATTGAATCGTATTAGCACTAAAAAAAATTGGTCATATTTAGATTGCAGCGTCATCAATAAAATCAGTTAATTTATGTAGTAGACACAAAATTATATGGTCTCAAACTTTCAGAAATCTTATTAATAATGAAGTATATGCGGTTAGCCGGTGTTGTCCCGGCCCGGGTCTTGTCCAGTCGGTGGCCCGGCAAGTTGATGAGTGTGTGTACATAGAGGTGTCTCTGAAAGGTTGGATGGTTGGACTCTAAGATGGCACAGATATACATAAATTATAAAGAAAGCGATTACAGTAAAGTTCTTATGAATTTTCCTCCCACATAAACCTCCAGGAATATGAAAAGTTCATGAATTGCTAGTGTAGTCAAGTGTGACTGATCGTGGGTCGTGGCTCTGGAACACCGTTGGGAGGGTTTATACGGTCCCAGGGTCGTGGCTCTGGAACACGGTTGGGAAGGTTTATGCGGTCGCAGGGTCGTGGCTCCAGAACACTGTTGGGAGGGTTCATACGGTCCCAGGGTCGTGGCTCTGGAACACGGCTGGGAAGGTTTATACGGTAGCAGGGTCGTGGCTCCAGAGCACTGTTGGGAGGGTTCATACGGTCCCAGCGTTGTGGCTCCAGAACACTGTTGGGAGGGTTCATACGGTCCCAGGGTCGTGGGTCTGGAACACCATTGGGAGGGTTCATACGGTTCCAGGGTTGTGGCTCTGGAACATTGTTAGGAGGGTTTATACGGTCCCAGGGTCATAACTCTGGAACACCATTGGGAGGGGTGTATACAGTTCCAGGGCCATGGCTCTGGAACACCGTCAGGAGGGTTCATACAAGCCCAGGATCGTGGCTCTGGAACACCATTGGGAGGGTTCATATGGTCCCAGGGTCGTGACTGGAACACCATTGGGAGGGTTCATACAATCCCAGGGTTATGGCTCCAGAACACTGTTGGGAGGGTTCATACAGTCCCAGGGTCGTGGCTCCAGAACACTGTTGGGAGGGTTCATACGGTCCCAGGGTCGTGGCTCTGGAACACCTTTGGGAGGGTTCATACAGTTCCAGGGTCGTGGTTCTGGAACATTGTTAGGAGGGTTTATAGAGTCCCAGGATCATAACTCTGGAACACCATTATGAGGGTTTATACGGTTCAAGGGCCATGGCTCTGGAACACCGTCAGGAGGGTTCATACGAGCCCAGGGTCGTGGCTCTGGAACACCATTGGGAGGGTTCATATGGTCCTAGGGTTGTGGCTCTGGAACACTGTTGGGAGGGTTCATACAGTCCCCGGGTCGTGACTGGGGCACCATTGGCAGGTTAAATCACCACCACCAGATGTAGACCAAACGAAATGTAAACTTTGCCAGATGGATTATTGTCACACCCTGCGTCATTATGTACTTGAGTGCTATAAAATTAATGAATTTAGAAACAACTCACTCAGAAGTGTTCAAGAAATGGCTAAGTATTTTATCCACAGTGGTATATTACAGACCATTCTGGAGAAATACCCTGACTTTGCTAGCTGTAAATAAAGCATTACCACATATGTGCATGTGTGTGTGTGTGTGTGTGTGTGTGTGTGTGTGTGTGTGTGTGTGTGTGTGTGTGTATGTGTATGTGTATGTGTGTGTGTGTGTGTGTGTGTGTGTGTGTGTGTGTGTGTGTGTGTGTTTGTGTGTGAGTATGAGTGTGTGTGTGTGTATGAGTGTGTGTGTGTGTATGAGTGTGTGTGTGTGTATGAGTGTGTGTGCGTGTGTGTGTATGAGTTTGTGTGTGTGTGTGTGTGTTTATGTGTGTGTGTGTATGAATTTGTATGTGTGTGTGTGTGTGTGTGTGTGTGAGAGAGAGAGAGACTCAGCAATCAACATTTGCACCAATAACTCACTACAGTTGTGACCGGGTGTGGAAGTGTGAATTGCTCATTACTCTAAAATTTGTTCATGATTGCAGCCATGTATAAACGTAAGTAGCCATTCTTACAGTATTCATTACCTTTGTAACTTGTGAGTTCATTACCTTTGTAACTTGTGAGTTCATTACCTTGTACCTAGTTCAGACATCAAAACTTTGGAGCCCGGTCCCTGGACCCATTGTGTACCTCTGTAATCTGTAAATACCTTTGTAACTTGTAATGATTGTGACTAGACCTACCTGGAGTTCATTACCTTTGTAAATTGTGAGTTCATTACCTTTGTAAATTGTGAGTTCATTACCTTTGTAAATTGTGAGTTCATTACCTCTGTAACTTGCTCAGCTATCAAAACTTTGGAGTCCAGTCCCTGGACCCATTATGTACCTCTGTAATCTTTTGACTACCGCCCACAGGATGGGTATGGGGTGCATAATAAACATATTAAACTAACTAACTAAACATTGGGAGGGTTCATACGATCCCAGGGTTATGGCTCTGGAACACTGTTGGGAGGGTTCATACGGTCCTAGGGTCGTGGCTCTGAAACACGGTTGGGAGGGTTCATACGGTCCCAGTGTCGTGGGTATGGAACACCGTTGGGAGAGTTCATACAGTCCAAGGGTCGTGGCTCCAGAACACTGTTGGGAGGGTTCATACGGTCCCAGGGTCGTTTCTCTGGTACACCGTTGGGGTGGTTCATATGGTTCCAGGGTCGTGGCCCTTGGACATTGTTAGGTAGGTTTATGCAGTCCCAGGGTCGTGGCTCCAGAACACTGTTGGGGAGGTTCATATGGTTCCAGGGTCGTGGCTCTGGAACATTGTTAGGAGGGTTTATATGGTCCCAGGGTCGTGGCTCTGGAACACTGTTGAGAAGGTTCATATGGTCCCAGGGTTGTGGCTCCAGAACACCGTTGGGAGGGTTCATACGGTCCCAGGGTCATGGCTCTGGAACACCTTCAGGAGTGTTCATATGAGCCAGGGTCGTGGCTCTGGAACACAGTTGGGAGGGTTCATATGGTCCCAGGGTTGTGGCTCTGGAACCGTCAGGAGTGTTCATACGAGCCAGGGTCGTGGCTCTGGAACACCTTTGGGAGGGTTCGTACGGTCCCAGGGTCATGGCTGCAGAACACTGTTGGGAAGGTTCATACGGTCCCAGGGTCGTGGCTCTGGAACACCGCTGGGAGGGTTCATACGGTCCCAGGGTTGTGGCTCTGGAACACCGTCAGGAGTGTTCATACGAGCCAGGGTCGTGGATCTGGAACACCTTTGGGAGGGTTCATACTGTCCCAGGGTCGTGGCTCCAGAACACTGTTGGGAAGGTTCATACGGTCCCAGGGTCGTGGCTCTGGAACACCGTTGGGAGGGTTCATACGGTCCCAGGGTCATGGCTCTGGAATTCAATTCAATTCAAAGTTTATTATCTATAAGGATTACTATGCTGAGTTTACATTATTATTATTATAATCAAGAGAGAAGCGCTAAACCCGTAGGATTATACAGCGCCCAGGGGAGGGGGGATGTGGAAGGCATTCAGGCTTAATTCGGGGAACTGGAGCACAGATCCAATTCCCTAAATCAAGAGCCCCTCACCAACATCAAGGAACCTTCCATGAGGGGATGCTGAGTTTACAGAATTTAGTTATTGTGTGGTTTACATGTAGTAAAATAATAATTACAGAGTGTACCACTAGAACACCTAGCATGGCTAGGTATTTCGGGCAGACTTAGTTTAATTCTTAATTTTAAAATATTACAAATTATGAGGTAAGATGGTATTATGGCTAAGTGACTAAATACTAGTTTGTGAGTTTAGCAATGTGAATGCTTTTGTTTTGGCATAGTACATAGTTTCAGTATTGGAGTATCACAGGCCAACTTATGACTAGTTTGGATTCATTATTTTAAGATTGAGATCAATATTTCTGTTTATGGTCAAATGGGTGAGTGAGTGTAAGTGTGAACCACCAGGTGGTATTCGTGTTGTTAGTTGATGGGGTGTATCAGGGAGATAAGATGTTTTCTAATGGTAGTTTTGAAGGTGATGAATGTGTCTGCAGTTCTAGAGTTTTCAGGTAGGGTGTTCCAGATTTTAGGGCCTTTGACATACATTGAATTTTTGTAAAGGTTTAGTCGGACACAGGGAATGTCATAGAGATGTTTGTGTCTGGTGTTATGCCTGTGAGTTCTGTCAGAACTATCAAGAAAGCGTTTTAGGTCAAGGTTAATATTGGAATTTAAGGTCCTGTAGATGTAGATTGCACAGTAGTAAGTGTGGATGTACTGAACAGGGAGTAAGTTTAGATCTATGAAAAGTGGGGGGGGGGTGTTGCCAGGGATGGGATTTAGTGATTATTCTTACTGCGGCTTTTTGTTGGGTTATTATTGGCTTTAGGTGTGTTGCTGCAGTTGATCCCCAAGCACAAATAGCATAGGTGAGGTATGGATAAATAAGTGAGTGGATTTAGATTAGATTTTGCCACCGAAGTGGCTAGTTTATTGTGCACCCCATATCCATCCTGTGGACGGTAGCGCGAGAGCATATGGATACACAAAAGGCCTAGGAACTAGGCCCCAAAGGGTTAACAGGAATACATATGGATTTATATCTACATATCTATAGTTCACTTATCTGTTACAAGCAAATTTAGGAAATTTGCTTAGTATATCTGGTATCTTATTTTCATTAATAAGATATCTTGACATGTCACATAGGTTATTATACTGTCTGTCTCTGTATTCCTCAATAAGTGGACAATTAAGCACATAGTGTTCAAGAGAGTGACCATATGCCTGATCACATAATTTACATTTAGTTTGATCATCATCTGTGTGTCTCCCAAAACTGCCAGAAGTACTTGTAACCAAGCCTAAGCCTGGCCACTACAACATCAGTCAGTCTGTTCACATTGCAAGTTGCTCCATAAACATACTTATCTACGTTCATGTTATCATAGTGGGTTATAGATCTACTCAGGCTTCTAACTGCATTCCTATAACAATCATCTTCATTATTTACTTCTCTCCTAATATTATTCCTAATGCTAGACACAGTTATACCAAAGTTATATTCTACGTTCTCCTTCTGGATACTCTTCTTGGCTAACATATCAACTTTATCATGAAGGAGTAATCCAATGTGTGATGGGATCCATAGCAATTGTACATTAATTCCTTTGTCCCTAATTTTTGAGTATCTATACCTGGCTTCCCCAATGAGCATGTTGTTGGAGTCATTATATGAGCCAAGAGCCTTCAATGATGACATAGAATCAGTAATGATGATAGAGTCAAGCTCAGTGTCATAGGTTAGCTTTAGCGCCATTAGGATTGCAAACAATTCAGTTTGCAGTGTAGACGCCCAGTTGTTAATTCTTATGCCTAACTCAACAAATTTATTATCGTTCTTAACTAGGGAGGTGGCAACAAGAGCAGATGCAGCCCTGCCAGAAGACTCCTGTTTAGATCCATCAGTGTATATAACTTGTGATAACTTATTACTACCAGCTAGGCGAAAAATTTCTTCTTGAGCAGTTGCTCTAACAAGAGATTTAAGGAAGGGATTACTAGCAATGAGCTTCTTGGGAGGGACTTGTAGGTATGTGATATTAAATGAACGGTATAGTGTGAGAAGGGCATTTTGCGGCACGTAGTATCGTATCTTGGAGAGGATCCCAACCGTTTTGGATAGTTTTTTGGTTATGTGTTGGATATGGGTGCTGAAATTCAGGTTGTTGTCAAGGTATAGGCCTAGGAATTTGTCCTCATTATGTCTGGTAATTAGAGTGTTGTCGATCTTAATGTTAATTTGTGTATCTCCTGCTCTGCTACCAAACATAATATAGTAGGTTTTGTCAGTGTTAAGCGTAAGTTTATTGGCTGTCATCCAAGTCGATATTTTGATCAGCTCCTCGTTAACAATGGTGTTGAGGGTGGCAATATTAGGGTGAGAGATGACATAAGTCGTGTCGTTAGCAAAGAGAATGGGGTTCAGGTGTTGAGATACGTTTGGAAGATCATTGATGTATATGAGGAAGAGCAGGGGACCAAGGACACTTCCCTGCGGAAGTCCAGTATCAAGTGGCCGTGTTGTTGATGCTGTGTCTCTAATGGTGACATACTGATACCTATTAGTAAGGTAAGATTTGAAATGAACGCCGTCAGGAGTGTTCATACGGGCCAGGGTCGTGGCTCTGGAACACCGTTGGGATGGTTCGTACGGTCCCAGGGTAGTGGCAGCCCTTCAACCCAACAATAACATGGCTGATCATCATCGCCGTTCCCATAACACCGTAAAAGACAACGATGATGAGGAAGATCCTGTTGAGTCTATGATATCTAAAACCGGTTGTTTAGAGAAGCATTACGCTATTCAGGTTATTATATATTATGTACTTTTCATTTATGATTCATTTGGATTCATTGTGATTGATGTTTATGTAAAGAATGGATAACTTAAACACAAAAACTATTATATTTCAAAACTAAAGTTTTTGTGGGTTTTGATTTCTGTACAGACCATGAGAATAATTTTCATTATTTTAAAAAATTTAAGGTTGGCTTAAAATCATATCACTAGATAAAATAGAGCCATGTAATACTCATTTATTTAACTATAATGCCTAGGCATTATAGTTAAATAAATGAGTATTACATGGCTCTATCGTAATTTATTTTCTTTTAAATATGGATGAAACAAATTTGTTTGAAAATGTCATTGGGAAATTGTACCATTTATGAATAAAAAATAACTAAGGTAATACTTGTAAAGTAATTACTATATGTGATTATCTTTTATTGCAGTTCTGTATGGCAGACCACAAGGATTGGCGCAAGTGCCAGACAGAAGTGGCTGATTTTCAGTCTTGTATAATGGATTATAACAGAAATAAGCAAAAGAAATGATTAGAGCTGTGAAGAAAAATTGTTGTATAATAATTAGCCCAAAAATAATGTGATTATTGGAAAGCATTTTAATCATTGCTGGTTTATATGAAATAATTTTTTTTATTGCGGAAACTATAAAAATTAATAATACTGTATATCAAGGTTAAGGCATTATTATACTACAACTTTGAAAAGTCTCCATTAATTATGGATGAGCCTGAAATAAAGAAATCACTTTGGGATCCTGCATCCATCACTGCATCAACTGGTGCAGTTATTAGTTTCTTGGCTGGTATTATCATTGGTCATAAGCTGAGAAACACTGTACAAAGAGTAGCATCTCTTGCCTCAACCGGGCCAACAAAACTGGCACTTGTAGTTAATAACGACTTGAATATGGGAAAAGGTTGGTCTGAGAATTTTATTCTTATGCTGTACAGCATTATTTTAAAACTATGAGCTCTGTATAGTCCTTGTGGCTTAGCGCTTCTTTTTGATTATAATAATAATAATTTAAAACTATGGTACGTTTTTACACATTACTATATACAAATAACCTGAAAAGTCTGTCAATTTTTTTCTGCTGTGTGTGGATTATTTATGTATTGTTCCAGTCACTATTGTGCCTTTTTATTCTCTACTCATTACTTTGCTTTGTTGTTAATTCTATGTATAGTAATCACACTTAAATTATTATTATAATTACGTGTATTAGGGAGAAGCGCTAAACCCCTCACCAGCGTCAAGGCATCTTTGAAAACCAGTCTAGATGGCTGGTCATCTCTAAAGAGTTTCATAACCTCCAAGTTTATTATACTTTTGCACAGCTCATGTGAGAGTAATTTAATATAGGTCTCTGGATTACTTTGTGGTTCATCTGAGTGACTTTCTATGTGATAACATGAGCTCATCTGATTAGCTTCAGATTTTTATCATTGGTGTATAGTAAACCCTCCCTATAACAGACTTTGCAAATATGGAACAAAATCTGCTGGATTATTCAATTTGGAGACAGTGGACAAAGTTTGTTGGTTATAGAATTGACTGTTATTGTTACAATCATGACAAAATAATCTCTTCTCTATCCATCACAATTGCCATTACTGGCCACCCTCTCCCCTTAATTAGTCCATTATGAGGAGGGTTTACTGTATTTTATGTAGAGAATAGGTCAGATAGTTATTGGGCTGTATAGATGCCTATATGCCAATTTTATACATATAAATAGGACAGAAATTTATATGCAGTAATGTAAAAATACCTCCTCTGATTGGCTTCAGATGAAAGTTTGATTTGTTACTGGTGTGTGTGGCAGCTAACTTTACCATAAAAATTGTAAGGTACAGTTTTTTTTTCTGTGCAGTAAATTATTGTTACATATTATAATCATGCCTAAGCACTAAACCCACAAGGGTCATACAGCGCTGCATGTGCATTAAATTAAGAATGCCTCATCGTATCAGTTTTATACTTTGTGGTGTATTTTTATTAAAAGAAGGTTTGCAGTGTTGTGGAGGTGTGTAAGTCCCAGTTTGCCATTTTTATGAAACAAATAAGGATATTTATTTCTGTGCAATAACTGGAGAATGCCTTTTCTGATTAACTTCAAACTTTAATAGATGGTATATCATACTTAGAAAAAGGTTTGGATTGGTCTTGAGCTACACGTAATTGTTTTTAATATTGGCTTCCATGCAATAACCATTTCATTGCCTTTCCTGATTGGCCTCAAGCCTTCAATTAAAGCTCATGTATGGTACTTGGAAGAAGGTTCAGATTATTATAGTTACTGGCTCTCTTAATGGTGTTTATCAGTAGCTCATGGGGCTTTAGAAAATCTGTTATTTATTAGTGGTTCTGGGATTATTGTTCCCAAGGCCTGTTCTCACACTGGGTCTCTTAAGTTGGGAAGGAAATATTACAGGATTAAGGACTGTTAAGAAACAGAAAATTGAAGGTATGTGTATAATAAATTTAAGTTGAAGTTTGTAAGATTTACCTGTCATCATGTATGTTCATGAGACAGAAAGATACGATCAGCAATCCTGCCAAACTGCAAAAATATTAAGAGGTTTCTGTTTCACACTCATTGGTATGACAGTAATACACTACCTTCCTGGATGATTCCCACCATTCAACCTACTAGGGTATGAAGCTAGAGGTACTATTATTATAATAAATCCAAGTGCTAAACCAGAAAGGGTCATACAGCACTGCATGGAGGGATATGCAAAAGTAGGAATGTGTGAAGGAAAGGAGCACATGAATGGCAGTGATGTGCAAGGGTAGTGGTTAGGGGAGAGTGCAAGAGTAAAATTTAAATCAAAGGTGGTGCAGTAGGTTAGTGTCTGACAAAAAGTAAGGGTCTGCATCAAATGCGGGACTTTCAGCTAGGATGTAAGCGAGTGTTGTGGGACGATTGAAGCACTGGAATCAAATCCTGCAAGCACACTAATAGACAGGACAATCTACCCTTCTTGAGTGTTAAGCTAAAATTCCTGAACCACTTCAGAGTGTTGATTTCCAACTCCTGGACTTCTTGGGAGGGTTGAGTTATATAGCTCTTTGGTTTCTTAATGAAGTTGACCTACAACTCCTCTTGAGGGTTTTGAGGTTAAACTACAGTGCCTCTTGCATGTACTGAGGTGTGTGGCACCAGAGTTATGGGATATAGGGAATACCATTTTTGGGATCATGCAACAACAGAAATTCAACTACTATAGTTTGGCCATATTACATTCATGGAAACACTAAACCCATGAGGATCATATGGAGCCTGGGATATAGGAGGCAGTCAAGTTTATTCCAAGGAAGTGGAAGTAGCTCCAGTGCCTTTTGCTAGCATGAAGTTATAGTCAATTCAACCCTTCAAAGATTACTTGAAGAATTGAATGGGCTTTAGTTTTGTAGGTCTTTCATATTAGTTGTACATTTAGACTTATAATGTTCATTCTGATGTTGCATATCACTAATATCTGTTGTTAAGCACCATCAATATTATTCATCAATATTACAACTTTGAAATGCATTTTTTTTTTTTTTTTGCAGGAAAAATAGCAGCCCAATGCTCCCATGGAACTCTGGTAGCCTATCAACAGTTGCAGAAAAATAACCCTAGTCTGTTGCAAGCCTGGGAGGATTCTGGTCAGCCTAAGGTTGTACTAAGAGCTACAGACTTGAACCAACTGCATAAATTAAGTGAGGTTTGTACCACTTTTGTGGATATTAACTTTTTATACATTATAATTTTAAATATTTGAAAGCTTTGTACTTTATCTCTTAATTTAATGTATTGTAATATTTTATAACAAAACTTTCTAATATCCTAACATATTGTACCCACTAACATCTTGCCTAAAATGTTCAGCCATATTATGATTAATGCTTACTGTCTTCTAGTTTAAAGCCCTTCACACCATATACATACAGTGGAACCCTGGATTTCAAATTTCCCATGGGAAATAACGTAAATACAATTAATCCGTTCCAGACATCCAAAAATATTCACAAAAAATTAATTTTTTAACCCTTAACCCTTAAACTGTCCAAACGTAGATTTACGTTTGCACGCGTACCGCTCCAAACGTAGATCTACGTTCGATTTTACATTGTTTCTTATGTAAAAAAAAAATGTAGATCTGTGTTCGGTGTATGCGAAATCCAGGGTTCCACTGTACATGTAATCCAAAATATTCATGTTTCACAATATTCTACGGTATTTTTGTTTTAATTTTTCCCCACCTTGTTTTGCCTATTAGGTATATGATCAAAAGAAACTTTAAAAGCACTAAAACTGTTGAGGTCATGCAGCTTTAAAATTTTGATGAGACAGTATCCTCTTTATTTCCAGCAAAGAAAATAATAGGTCTAAGATATAGAATATACAGTATTTTCTGGCATATGGGGGACACAAGCATATAAGACATACAAGATTGTGTTTCCAAGCCCTTGTAACATAACGTTAGTAAACAGCTGCTACAGCGTAACCCAGAGTCGACCCTTGACCCTGACCTTGAGCATATAAGGTGCAGAGTGACTTTCCAAGACTTTTTGTGGGAAAAAAAGCTTGCCTTATGTGCCAGAGAATACGGTTCCTTATAAAATTGACTCAGTTAAGGGAAAGAGGGGTGGACACACAATAATGACAATTATTAAAATTAAAATGTTGGGAGTATACCTGGAGAGAGTTCTGGGGGTCAATGCCCACGCGGCCCAGTCTGTGACCAGGCCACATGGTGGATCAGGGCCTGATCAACCAGCCTGTTACTGCTGGCCGCATGTAATCCAACGTACGAATCACAGCCCGGTTGGTCAGGTACTGACTTTAGGTGCTTGTCCAGTGCCTGCTTGAAGACAGCCAGGGGTCTATTGGTAATCCTCCTGATGTATGCTGGGAGGCAGTTGAACAGTCTTGGGCCACTGACACTTATTGTGTTGTCACTTTTATTGTACTAGTGGCACACCTGCTTTTCGTTGTGGGGATGTTGCACCCTCTGCTGAGTCTTTTTCTTTCGTAGGGAATGATTTTCATGTGCAAGTTTGGTACTAGTCCCTCCAGGATTTCCCAGGTGTATATAATCATGTATCTCTCCCTCCTGCATTCTTGGGAGTACAGGTTTAGGAACTTCAAGCATTCCCAGTAATTGAGATGGTTTATCGCAGTTATGCATGCCGTGAAGGTTCTCTGTACGTTTTATAGGTCAGCAATTTCACCTGCCTTGAAAGGTTCTGTTAGTGTGCAGCAATATTACAGCCTAGATAGAACAAGTGACCTGAGGAGTGTCATCATGGGCTTGGCATCCCTGGTTTTGAAGGTTCTCATTATCCATCCTGTCATTTTTCTAGCAGATGCAATTGATACAGTGTTATGGTCCTTGAAGGCGAGATTCTCTGACATGATCACCCCCAGCCAGGTCTTTGACATTAGTTTTTCGCTCTGTTGTGTGGTTGGAATTTGTTTTATACTCCGATGAAGTTTTAATTTCCTCATGGTTTCCATATTGAAGTAATTGAAATTTCTCATCATTGAACTTCATATTGTTTTCTGCAGCCCATTTAAAAATTTGGTTCATGTCTGCCTAGAGTCTTGCAATGTCTTCGGTGGAGGACACTGTCATTCAAATTCGGGTGTCATCTGCAAAGGAAGACACAGCGCTGTGGCTTATATCCATGTCTATGTCCGATATGAGGATGAGGAACAAGATGGGGGCGAGTACTGTGCCTTGTGGAACAGAGCTTTTCACTGTAGCTGCCTCAAACTTTACTCTGTTGACTACTCTTTGTGTTCTATTTGTTAGGAAATTATAGATCCATCTACTCACTTTTCCTGTTATTCCTTATCATGCATTTTGTACACTAGTACACCATGGTCACACTTATCAAAGGCTTTTGCAAAGTCTGTGTATATCTGCATTCTGCTTGTCTTCTAGAGCATTCAGGACCTTGTCGTAGTGGTCCAGTAGTTGGGACAGACAGGAGCAACCTGCTCAAAACCCATGCTGCCCTGGGTTGTGTAACTGATGGGTATCTAGATGGGTGGTGATCTTGCTACTTAGAATCCTTTCAAAGATTTTTATGATAAGGGATGTTAGTGCTATCAGTCGGTAATTCTTTGTTATTGCTTTACTGCTCCCTTTGTGGAGTGGGGCTATGTCTTTTGTTTTTAGTAACTGTGGGATGACCCCAGTTTCCAAGCTCCTTCTCCACAGAATGTTAAAAGCACGTAATAGGGGCTCCTTGCAGTTCTTGATGAACACGGAGTTCATGGGCATGTCATTTATCGCCTTTTTGAAGTTATTTGGCATCAGGATAATATCAGATAGGTGTGTGTGTACCAAATTCTCTCTCTCTCTCATAAAAAATTCATTTAGGTCTTTGACTCCCAGTCCACAAGTTATGAGTCATGTATGTATTATCAGTATCCTTTTCACTATAATCTTTACAGAGCAATGAAATACCCTTTAAGTGGTGCCCTGATGCTGATGAAGGGCTTTTGATCTAAGGAATTGGAGTTATTCCCCTACTCCTTCCTTAGATCAAACCTGATACCTCCCATTTCCCAGGCACTGTATGATATTTACATTATTATTATAATCAAGGGGAAGTGCTAAACCCGGAGGATTATACAGCGCCTGGGGGGGGAGGGGATGTGGAAGGCATTCAGGCTTAATTCAGGGAACTGGAGCACAGATCCAGTTCCCTAAATCAAGAGCCCCTCACCAACATCAAGGAACCTTCCTTGAGGGGTATGTTATTTACAGGTTACCACTTCCCACAAATGTAATTCCCTTACTTAATTCAGACCTGTTTACCACCTATTTATTCCCTATGGGTTTAGCACTTCCATGTGAATAAGAATAATGATGAAATATTTAGCTATTTTTCTTTTTTATATAATGTACAAACAGTAAAAAAATATGTAGAGCATTTCTGTTACCTTGACAATTTTTTTTTCATTAAACAAATGCATTAATATTTCGTTTTGAATGAGATTTGAAGTTGTGTACTGCCTTAATATATGCTATTTTTTTTTTTCATTATTATAGGCTTCTCATAGCCTTAATGAGATTTGCATTTTCCATGAATATAATTATTGCTATCCTTCTTATTGCCTAACTCCTCTTTCCCCCCCCCCCCCTAAAAAAACTTTAAAAGAATTTGTGCAAAATATCTTCCAAATTAGTTGCAAAAATATTTTATTTTTTGTTTTCTCATGGAATAAAAGGTAGCAATGCATTAAAGTTTCATTTTACTAAATAATTATCCAGGCACTGTTTGACTGCCTCACTATGCATTTAATACCTCATGAGTAGAGCAGTAAATAGTAATTAGGATTTCATATTTACTGTATTAGATTAGAAACCAAAATCCCGTATGCAAAACTAATCACTGAAACTGTGCGTGTGTGTCATCACTGCATAAGTTATATTGAAAAACTAAGTATTAAACCCCTTACCAGTCACACAGATCTTTGAGGAGAGGTGTATAACATGAACTAAAGAAAAAAATGAATAAAAGCCATTTCTTCTGATGTGAAAGTATTAGCATATGATCATTTTGTAAACAAGTTTAAACATGTATCTTTTGTATGACATACCACTAGTTTGAAATTAATAACTATGACACTAAGTGTTAACATTATCTTTAATATTCATTTAACTTGTCTCTCTATTTCCTAAATTATTATGATTACATTCATGGTAAAAGCACTAAACTCATAGGGGCCATACAGTGCATTTTAAAATGGGAGACAATCAGGTTTGACCCAAGAGAAGATTGGTCCAGTTCTTTGGATCAAGAGCCCCTCACTAGTGTCAAGGCACTTCCGTTTAGGAGCCTAATTTCCTAAATGAAGTTTAAAAATTTATTGACAACTTGCATTACAGATGGCAGCAGCATCTGGAGTATTGACAGCCGCTGTGAAGGATGCAGGAAGAACTCAGGTAGTTAGAGGTTCTCTGACTGTTTTAGCAGTTGGACCAGCATGTGTGGCTGACATTGACAAGATCACAGGGCATCTCAAACTACTATAAAAGTGGCACAACCTCTGTATGTAGCTTGTATACAAAGTAAATCATTTCCTTCAAAATTAGTTTATACATATTATTAAGATCATTATTATTATGGGGAACTCTAAACCTGTAGGATTATACAGTGCATGTGGGGGGAATGGAAGGCATTCAGGCTCAATTCAGGGAACTGGAGCACAGATCCAATTCCCTAGACCAAGAGCCCCTCACCAGCATCAAGGAACCTCCCTTGAGTGGATTAATAAAAACCATTTGAGGTCTTGGGTAAGTTTAGGAATGCCATTATTATTATAATGATAACTAAGTGCAAAACCTGTAAGGGTCATACTGCATGCTAGGAATGCCATTAATGTTGATATAAGTTACAGAATGGTTAACAAATCAAGCTTTGGAAAGTTCAAATGTTACAGTCAGTCTTGGACCATTATCAAATTGCAAATAGGTGGTTATTATTAGTTTTGATTATAATCAATCTTGGTTAATAACCCACAAGGATCTGCAATTAGATGAGAAAAGGGAGAGATCAGAAACCTGGGCAGTAAGAGTGGAAGCTCCTAAAGGGTGGTTCCTTGATGTCTGTGTGGGGGTTTTGATCCAAGGAATTGTAGCTGTCATTCCCTTTGATAGAACTTCATTGCCTTCCACTGATCCTTTCAGGTTTATTGTATATTTGCCTTCTATTACCCCGGCAGTGAATCCTACTACTTTAGTGCCCCCCTCCCTTACCCCATGAACGTGAGTAATAGGAGGAAGAGACTATAATGCCAGAAAATTTAGACTAGGAGTTGCTGCATTGTAATTAGGTAATAAGTTAAAAGGCCCCTCAGGAAAGAGTTCTCAATATTGGCAAGGGGCTCTTTTTACAAGGAATTGTACTTTTTTCTTTCTTTCCTGGGGGATCAGATCTTATTGCCTCCCATTTCCCAGGCACTATGACCTCTATGGATTTGGAGTTTCTACAAAATATGAATTTACATGATAAAAGTAGCTTCATGCCCTTATCCCAATCCTGAGGGGATCACAAATGGAAAAAAAAAAATTGGCCTACTTACTCAGGTTGTGACTCATACAGGTTTGGCCCATAAATTAATGTTTACTGGACTGCCATTTGGGTTTAGTACTTAGAATTGATTACTGGCCAAGGTGACAGAAAAAGTAACAAAGGAAAAAAAAGGTGAGAAAACCAGTCAGGTCAAGGCATTATTCTTCACTTTTGTTTTTATTACATTTAAAAATAAGCTCTAAATATGTATAGGCCATACAGCTCATCTTTTTCCTAGCAAGGGGCAGTAGGCCTAAAACAGTGCTCCTCATTACTCTTAAGCTTAGTTACATGGAGTTACATAGCTACTCCATCCCCTCAAAATGTATTTTCACAAGGAAACCCTAAAGCGGTTAAGGTTATACAGAACCTGGTAAATGGAAGGTTATCGATCCAAGAGGAAAAACGGGTCCAGTTCCTCGATAATAAAAAAAAAAGAGCCCCTCGTCAGCATCAAGACCACTTGAAAGGGCTAATTTTTCTAAATTACCTTTACTACTGGTATTTTGTCACATGGCCTATAATCCAGTCTTTTCTCTTGTGTCTATAATGGTGCAGGATGGACTGTCATCATCAAAAGTGCCTTCTCTGAAGTGTGAGCTATTTGCAAATTGTTCCAGCCATGGACTTTTGTAGGCAGATTGACACTAATGTTCAGCATGTGTGAATTTTACCAAAATCTTAAAATACTACAGCATAACTAAATGCATATAAACAGCTTAGTTTTGATTATAATAATAAATAACCTAAGAGCTAAACACACAAGGGTCATACAGTGCTATTAGGTCATCTAAAGAGTTGCCAGTTACCAGCTGTAAAGTCTTGATGAAGCCTAATGAGATTTGATGATGATGTAAATAAAAATAGCATCAGTTCTATATTTCTTTATTTTTACAAAAAAAAAAATCCTGACAAGTTTATGTTTAAAAAGTTCTTTTTATGTGTATCTTAAGAACAATATTCAGCTAAAGACAGTTAGTCAAACAAAATAATTAAAACATTAATCCCTGCGAAGTTTTACTGTTTCCTCAGTTTTCCCATCTTTAGTGATAGTATGAATGATTATACCATCACCAGTATTTATGTCACGCTCTGCTGCTGAGACAAAAGCATCATGGATAAGCTGACGTGCAAGGTCCTGAAAGCAAAAATGCAAATATTGTGTAAAGAAAATAAATGCTGGAAACTAGTGTAGAGCTTGGAAAAAAAATTAATTAGCTTTTTTTTTTTTTTCAAATACAACAGTTAAAGCCTACTTATCAAATAGAAAAAGGGTACTTTTCCCTTAAGGTACCCCTCTAGCTGATCACCAATCAGTAGTCAGGATTGTATTCAAAGTGTCATAGGTGGGACATTCTACCTGCGACAGATGGGTATGAATATTTACTGTGGTTCGTATGTTGGACTGCATGCAGCCAGTGGTAACAACTTGGTTGATCAGGCCCCAATTTGTTGGGAGGCCTGGTCTAGGACCAGACCGCCGGGATATTCACCCCAGAAACATCCTTAAGTTCTTTGCTAATTCTACAGGCAAATCATGGTCAATCACAAATGTTGTCTCTAACTAAATTTTACTTGAAAGTCCCTACTAACTCTGGAAACATGGTCCATAATCCCTTGCACTATGATCTACTGTAAATATTGAAATTTAATGACAATCTCAAAATATATGAACCACAATACACTGGTACCTCGGGATACGAACAGCTCAAAACTTGAACAATTACGTAAGTGTATTTATGTAAGTGCTTTTGTAAGTGTATTTTTGGGGGTCTGAAATAGATTAATCTACTTTACATTATTCCTTATAGGAATAACAAAAAAAGGCACAATACCGTGACTGGAACGATACACAAATAACCCGCACATGAAAGAGAGAAGCTTACGAACAAATTCATTCAGTATTGGCACTAACAGCTTTCTGGAACGAATTAATTTCATATCCCGAGGTACCACTGTACTGATCACAGTAAATTTCCTGATATTACTATTTACAACATGCTAATACTTAATCAGTATTAGCATGGGGTTCTGAGTAAAGCGATGCTTAAAGCATGTTACTGCTTTCCACTATTCATTTTCATAAGAAATACAAGTTTTAATAATCTTACCCACCCATGGCACAATCCCACAGCTTGGTACATTTTTTTTTTCCCAACAAGTCGGCCGTCTCCCACCGAGGCAGGGTGACCCAAAAAAGAAAGAAAATCCCCAAAAAGAAAATACTTTCATCATCATTCAACACTTTCACCACACTCACACATTATCACTGTTTTTGCAGAGGTGCTCAGAATACAACAGCTTAGAAGCATATACGTATAAAGATACACAACATATCCCTCCAAACTGCCAATATCCCAAACCCCTCCTTTAAAGTGCAGGCATTGTACTTCCCATTTCCAGGACTCAAGTCCGACTATATGAAAATAACCGGTTTCCCTGAATCCCTTCACTAAATATTACCCTGCTCACACTCCAACAGATCGTCAGGTCCCAAGTATCATTCATCTCCATTCACTCCTATCTAACACGCTCACGCACGCTTGCTGGAAGTCCAAGCCCCTCGCCCACAAAACCTCCTTTACCCCCTCTTTCCAACCCTTTTGAGGACGACCCCTACCCCTCCTTCCTTCCCCTATAGATTTATATGCTTTCCATGTCATTCTACTTTGATCCTTCTCTCTAAATGACCAAACCACCTCAACAACCCCTCTTCTGCCCTCTGACTAATGCTTTTATTAACTCCACACCTTCTCCTAATTTCCACACTCCGAATTTTTTGCATAATATTTACACGACACATTGCCCTTAGACAGGACATCTCCACTGCCTCCAACCGTCTCCTCGCTGCTGCATTTACCACCCAAGCTTCACATCCATATAAGAGTGTTGGTACTACTATACTTCATACATTCCCTTCTTTGCCTCCATAGATAACGTTTTTTGACTCCACATATACCTCAATGCACCACTCACCTTTTTTCCCTCATCAATTCTATGATTAACCTCATCCTTCATAAATCCATCCGCCGACACGTCAACTCCCAAGTATCTGAAAACATTCACTTCTTCCATACTCCTCCTCCCCAATTTGATATCCAATTTTTCTTTATCTAAATCATTTGATACCCTCATCACCTTACTCTTTTCTATGTTCACTTTCAACTTTCTACCTTTACACACATTCTCAAACTCATCCACTAACCTTTGCAATTTTTCTTTAGAATCTCCCATAAGCACAGTATCATCAGCAAAAAGTAACTGTCAATTCCCATTTTGAATTTGATTCCCCATAATTTAACCCCACCCTTCTCCCGAACACCCTAGCATTTACTTCTTTTACAACCCCATCTATAAATATATTAAACAACCATGGTGACATTACACATCCCTGTCTAAGACCTACTTTTACCGGGAAGTATTCTCCCTCTCTTCTACACACCTTAACCTGAGCCTCACTATCCTCATAAAAACTCAAACAGCATTTAGTAACTTACCACCTATTCCATATACTTGCAACATCTGCCACATTGCTCCTCTATCCACTCTATCATATGCCTTTTCTAAATCCATAAATGCAATAAAAACTTCCCTACCTTTATCTAAATACTGTTCACATATATGCTTCAATGTAAACACTTGATCTACACATCCCCTACCCACTCTGAAGCCTCCCTGCTATTCCGCAATCCTACATTTATTATGTAAAATTTCATGTACAAGACTACCTTTTCCCTCAAGGGAGGTTACTTTATGCTGAAGAGAGGTTCTTGATCCAAGAAATTAAACTTGTCATACACTTTTTGGGATCAAACTTGATTGCCTCTCATACTCAAGACACTATAAACTCTTATGAGTTAAATGCTTCCCCCAAACATAAAAAAAACACCATACCTTAGTCATTGTAGGCGGCTTCACCCCCAGCATGTTGAGTCCTCCAATTTGATTATCCAGAAGAGGCTGAATCTGTGACACTGATTCTCCAGTTGCACTAAATGTTAACTTTTCCATGTGTCCCACAGGATCATAATGATAAACCACACCCTTACCTACAGAGAATGGATAATTTTAATCTATAATTTTAACCCTTTCACTGTCACTGACACAGATCTACATTATAATCATAGCACCCTCAGTTATGCTGTGATGGTAAATGTTTACTTAGACATGAGTGTGTGTGTGCACATTAAAATAAATAAATATATATTACAGTGGACCCCCGGTTAACGATATTTTTTCATCCAGAAGTATGTTCAGGTGCCAGTACTGACCGAATTTGTTCCCATAAGAAATATTGTGAAGTAGATTAGTCCATTTCAGACCCCCAAACATACACGTACAAACGCACTTACATAAATACACTTACATAATTGGTCACATTCGGAGGTAATCGTTATGCGGGGGTCCACTGTATATACAGTGGACCCCCGGTTTACGATATTATTTCATTCCAGAAGTATGTTCAGGTGCCAGTACTGAACGAATTTGTTCCCATAAGGAATATTGTGAATTAGATTAGTCCATTTCAGACCCCCAAACATACACGTACAAACGCACTTACATAAACACAGTGGACCCCCAGTTCACGATATTAATCCATTCCTGAGAGCTCATCATAAACCAAAATTATTGGAAAGCGAATCAATTTTCCCCATAAGAAATAATAGAAATCAAATTAATCAGTGCAAGACACCCAAAAGTATGAAAAAAAAAATTTTTTACCGCATGAAATATTAATTTTAACCCTTTGACTGTTTTCGACGTATAAATACGTCTTACGAGCCAATGTTTCTGACGTATATATACTCAATAAGTCTAGCGGCTTCAAATCAAGCGGGAGAAAGCTGGTAGGCCCACATGTGAGAGAATGGGTCTGTGTGATCAGTGTGCACCACATAAAAAAAATCCTGCAGCACACATTGCGTAATGAGAAAAAAAAAACTGATCGTTTTCTGGAATAAAACGCCAACTTTGAGGTGTATTTTCGTATAGTATTTATCATTGTATTCGTGTTTTCATGGTCTTTGGTGATAAAATGGAAAACATATTACAGAAATAGAGATGATTTTCATTACTTTGACGATGAAAACGACCTTGAAACTGAGCTCAAAGTAGCGGAAATGTTCGATTTTTACCAATGTTCAGGAGTAAACAAATCACACCACACATCCAATACACGTCACCTGGGGTGTCTAATATTCTTTCACTAGTGCACTGATATTATTTATACCATTTTTACAATAATGCAGTAGTCTGCATAACAGTAAATTTTGTATTTTTTTGTATGAATAAAAAATCAAAATAGAAAGCAATAATAATATAAGAGGGGCCTAGAGATGTGACTAATGAACAGAGGATATGCTATTTTAGTGCCAAGAATGTCTACCTTGTTTATTCTGGACCCTATTTTGAAATTGGCATCTTTTTTAAGTTGCGTGAAATTGGCCAAATTGCCAATTTCTGACCACTATCTTGGGTAGTTCAAATTGGTAAATGGGTGGTTTCTTGTACTCAGCTGATAGATAAAATGGAGTTCTAAGGAAATAGCTATGAGTTTGGTCAACTGAAACAACGAAATTGGCTGAAAACAGGGCTCAAAGTCGGCAAAATTGCCGATACACATATGTAGCCGATTCCGCTAACTTCGCGGAAGCGTAATTCCGTGAGTTTTCGACCCAATTTCGAACTTTTGGTGTCATTACCATCGGGAAAAGATTCTCTATCATTTCATAAGAAAAAATTTTTTTTTTCGAATATTTGGCGACATAGAATGACAGTTTCAGAAAGGGGCCTGAAACAGTCAAAGGGTTAATACACACAAACTGAAGAAGACATGCACAGTTACATGGCACTTACCTTTATTGAAGATCTGGTGATGAATGATGGGATGGGAGGAGGGGAGAGAGTGGATGGTCTTAGTGTTTAGAAGGGGAATCCCCTTCCATTAGGACTTGAGGTAGCAAATCCTTTTCTGGGGTTACTTCCCTTCTTTTAATGCCACTAGGACCAGCTTGAGAGTCACTGGACTTCTGTCGCACAACATATCTGTCCATAGAGGCCTGTACCTCTCGTTCCTTTATGACTTTCCTAAAGTGTTTCACAACATTGTCAGTGTAATAGTCACCAGCATGGCTTGCAATAGCTGTGTGAGGGTGATTTTCATCACCCTTTTCACAAATGATCGCTTGAGAGATGCTATCTCCTGCTATCTGTTTTTCATTTATCCACACCAATAACAGTCTCTCAACATTTTCTAACACTTGCGGTCGCTGTTTCGTAATCACAGTTGCACCTTTTGCAAGAACAGCTTCCTTGATTGCCGTTTTCCTGCTCACTATAGTAGAGATGGTTGATTGGGGTTTACTATACAACCTGACCAGTTCTGACACACACTCCACTTTCGTACTTTGCAATTATCTCTTTCTTCATTTCAACAGTCATTAGCACCCTTGGTCTCGAAGGGTTGGCACCAGGAGCTTTCTTGGGGCCCATGGTGACTTATTTTGCAGAAACAAGCACCAAAAACAGTGATAATATGGATAATATGGAATGTACCGAATGTATCCTTAGATGCACGCACACTGGCTGGCTTGTAAACACTGGTACACACAGGGGAGTTCAGGCCACAAGTGGACACGTCTCGTACGAATCGTATCGCATACTGGATTTTGTATCGGGAAGCGAGGCAAAATTTTTTCGATCAAATGCATCGGCAACCGAATTTATCGGATACCGGTAACATCGAGAACCGGGGGTCCACTGTACACTTACATAATTGATCATAAAGCGGGGGTCCACTGTATATATATTTTTTTATACGGCCGGTGTGTTGAAAGAAAAAGTTTTTTTTTTTTTCCAACAAGTCGGCCATCTCCCACTGAGGCAGAGTGACCCAAAAAAGGAAGAAAATCCCCAAAAAGAAAATACTTTTATCACCATTCAACACTTTCACCTCACTCACACATAATCACTGTTTTTGCAGAGGTGTTCAGAATACAACAGCTTAGAAGTATATATGTATAAAGAATACACATCATCACTCTCCAAACTGCCAATATCCCGAACCCCTCCTTTAGAGTGCAGGCACTGTACTTCCCATTTCCAGGACTCAAGTCCGGCTATATAAAAATAACCGGTTTCCCTGAATCCCTTCACTAAATATTACCCTGCTCACACTTCAACAGATCGTCAGGTCCCAAATGCCATTCGTTTCCATTCACTCCTATCTAACACACTCACGCACGTTTGCCCAAATGCAGTGTATGATGGGAACAAGAACTCGCCATGTGTTTGGTTTACAATGTCGACTTCGAGGCACATTTTAGTTATGGTTTTATTGTCTGTTTCTTGGTATTAATTATTTGACCAACTGGAGATTTGGGCGGATTTCAAATCTACTTGAAACAGGCCTCAAATTAGCGGAAATATTCGATTTCTGGCAATTTTTCAGAGGAAAGGTAGGGGCCCCCATATCCCAACCCCTCTGTTCTATTTAAACCAAAACCAATCACTTGCAGTTATATTTTATTAACCAAGAAATAGGGTAAAGCTTATTTTTTACCAGATGATGGGTTCATGATGGAGGGCAAATGTTATGTAGGAGATTCCTGGGACAGGACTAATGAACAGGGAAAAAGTTGCTTTAATGGCTGTAATATCTAGTGTTTATTTAGGATTTTTTTAAATTGGAATTTATTGAATTGGCTAACTTGTGCACTTTCTAAGGTAGTTTTGATAGAATTGGGAGAGTGAGTTATGTATGTAATTGACGTTAAATTGGCCTTAAAGTGAGAAAATCGCCAATGCATAAATTGCACCCAGACTGCTAACTTCATGCCTGTGTAATTCCACATGTTTTCCATCAAATTTTGCATTTTTGGTGTCATTTCCTTCAGAAGAATAATTCAATTTTAGATAATTTTTGTTTTTAAATCACAAGTGAAAAGAGTTAAATAATGATTTAGAGATAATTCTTAATAAAGGAAGGGCCTCTATTACTAATGATGGGAAATGTCATGTCCAATTATGCTTGTATACTGCTACTCATTTTGTTTAAACTCTTTAACTGGTTGACCAGGTCTTTTTATGGAAAATTTGTGATGAGATTGTCATTCTATTCATCAAACATTGATGCACACATGACAAAAACATTAACAATGTAAATGCTAATTTATGAAATCCACTTTCCTTGGGGAATCAGGTCACTTTCTGGTTGATGTAAGGCATAAGCTAAACCCCTTTCAAGATACTGTGTATATTATACATCATCTCAAAAGACTGAACTGTGACTCATGCTTCCGTTACATGCCCAAATGAGCAAGGGCTGTGGAGTTACAGCATTTTGAAGAAAATTGAAATAGTTACAAGCCAAATATATCTTCAAAACTATTATTAAAACCATAATTAAAATGTATGCCAAGTTACTTTATAAGACTAACATAAGGAAATTAAAGAGAGTCAGTTGGTAATTATCTTTATAATTCTTGGGATACTATGAACTTGTCTCATTTACCCCATTTTTATACACTGTTACTCAACACAGTACAGTAGGGCTCCACTTTACGGTGTTTTGCCACATTTGAAAAATGAATACGTTACCCCACCAATTATCTCAAACGGTTACTAACAACCAGTTATTTAATTTCCGTGAGATGACTTTCATAGTACTGGAAATTTAAAAAGTCAGTGGTTTTATAATCTTGGGATCTAAACAGGCCCTCATCCGAACTCGTTCTCAACAGTCGTGGCCACAATTTTAAAAAAAAATAAAACTATTTCTTCGTATGAAAAGTGTTTTATTAAAAATTTCAACGGTGGAAGCGACTAATACCTGGAAATTAATTCAGTACCCTGTGGGGATCTGGAAGGCCTTCCGGCTTATTCGGGCGGAATGTAGCACAAAAAAAATATCCTATTAAAAGATAGAGAATCTTTTCCCGATCATAAAGACACCAAAAGTTTGAAATTTGATATAAAACTTACGGAATTATGCTCTGGCAAAGTTAGCGGTCTCGGCGATGTTTACGCATCGGCGATTTTGCCCACTTTGAGCCCCATTTTCGGCCAATTTCACTGTACTAGTCGACAAAAAACATGAATATTTCGCTAGAACTCCATTTTTTCTATCGAATGGGTGCAAGAAACCACTCATTTATGAAATTCAACTATCCAGTACAGTGGTCAGAATTTAGCAATTTTGCCAATTTCACACAAATTTCAAAAGATGCCAATTTCCGAATAGGGTCCAGAATAAACAAGAAAGACATTCCTGGCACTAAAATGACATTTCCTCTGGTCATTAGTCACGTCTCAAGGCCCCTCTTATATTCTTTTGCTTTCCACTTTGAATTTTTATTCTCACAAAAAATAGAAGATTTACTGTTATGCAGACTACTGCATTAGTGTAAGAAATGGTATAAATATTATTGGTGCACTTGTGAAAGAATATTAGACTCACCAGTTGACGTGTATTGCACGCTTGGCACGATTTGTTTACTTTTGAAGTTTGGTAAAAATCGAACATTTCTGCTACTTTGAGCTCAATTTCAAGGCACTTTTCTTTGTAAAACCAGTCAAAATCATCTCAATTTCTGTAATATATCTTCCATTTTATAAAATGAGACCAAGAAAACTAGAATACAACAATAAATACCATACAAAATACACTGCAAAGTCGCTGATTTATTAAAAAAAAATGGTAAAAGTTTTTTTTTTCTCATTATGCACTGTGTGCTGCAGGATTTTTTTTAGACTGTGCACACTGACCACATAGACCCATTCTTTCATATGAAGGCCTACCAGCTTTCTCCCACTAGATTTGAGGCCGCTAGAATTTATGAGTACTAGTACGTCAAAAACCCCTACGCGTAAGACTTACTAGTACGACGAAAACCCTCAAAGGGTTAATGTGTTTTCATGTTTTATATATACATACTCTGATAATTATACTTATGTGTACCTGTACCTAAATAAATTTACATTGTGCTGGCATGTAGGTACAAGTTAAAATCACTAAGAGTGTCTTATTAGTTTTGAAGACACCATATTAATAATGATAACAACAACACAATAATAATCACTGAGGTGCATTGAATGTTGTATATTACGTTAATATAGACATTCTGATTAACCCATTGATGATATTTTTTCAAATTTATATAATAAACATGCTACACAACATTAACATGATTAACACAGCCCACAGTAGAATAAATTAACATAAATATGATATGTTTTTCCAGTGTTGTTGTTTCGGAAAGAATAACGTTTTCTCTAATTCAACACCGAAGAAAATGTGTACAAAACAGTATTACTGGGGGTAACAGTAGAAAATCATTCCTTTCTTATGCCTTCACTCGAGCATTATTCCTTCTAAAAATAGTGTTACACGAGAATGGGAATGCTGCTCTTTATTTATTCTACTTTACCAACGTGGAGACAACTTGTACACAATGTACACAATATAAGCTTCACAAACATGGAAATTAACGTGTATCAACCATACCCAGACACATTCGTCTGTTTACATACTCTGCGGCTCTGTCCTCTCCCATTTACTTTTTTTCTCTCATTTATTCGTTTTTATCTTGTTTATTCACCTCTCACCCTACTTTAAGACTACAAATATTTTAAGGTGAGTAATGAGTGTACTGTATATTAATTTTATTGCTCTGGGGAGCTTTAAAAGTTGTAGTATATTACGTGTTGGTGGGTTGGCCAGGCAGGCTACCATACCTCCCACACCTGACTTCCTACAAATAAATACTACTCCACCTCTCACCCTACAATAAGACTACAAATATTTTAAGGTAAGTGATGAGTGTACTCTATATGTATTTTATCACTCTAGGGCACTTTAAATGTTGTAGTATATTACGTGTTGGTCAGGAGGGCTACCATATCTACCACACTTTACTACTACTACTACTACTCTCTCACCCTACATTAAGACTACAAATATTCTGAGGTAAGTAATGAGTGTAGTGCTTGTGTATTTTACATTTTATTGTTTTTTAATACCTAGTTCTATTGCTAACCTAATATGTATGTTAGCGCAAACTTGTTATTTGGCATTTATATGCATTTATAAGTGGAAAAAATGGCGTTCTTTCTGGCGGTAGCCTGGAACCTAACCTGCCGTATAAGTGGGGCCCTACTGTACTTGATAATTTCATTATTAACGAGTCATTAAGCTCAGTTATTTGCTAGAGACAGAAAATATGAGCTAATTTTTTTTAAATTTTATCTGGAATGACAACACTGACTAAAAAAGTAACAAAGCAATCTCCGTGCAATAAAATTTTTTGGACAATTTCTACTGCTGAAAGGCTATGGAGCAATTTAGGTTTAGTCAAGATCATTTTTATAGGCCAATTATTTCTGCATAAAGTTAAGCTAAACTATTTAAACATAAATGATATATAAATTATGAGCAAAACATAACATTCACACCTATGTAGTAATAAACTATAGATTAATAAATATTTTTTTTTTTTTTACTATTAGCCACTTGAACATCATAATTTTACAATATTGGGGAATGACCTATATATGCCACATTGTGTATGCATCATGAAATAGATAAAAACTGAAAGAAAAAAAACTCAACTATATCAAAATCAAATTTTAAAAGTATGGTAAACCAACTCACTGAAAATCATCAAGTAACTTCTCTACAGCTAGCAGTAACAACATTAAGAAACTAAAAGTTTCCCAAAGAAAACCAGTTTTGGTTTACCTTCCTCATCAATGCCAGCAAGAATATTGGAGACATAATATGGGAAAAATCTCCTCCAGTATAGCATTGTTGATAGCAGCTGGGCAACAGCTGTAGTAGACATCATGTCGTGGTGTTCATGCGAGTACATCTGAAAGATGTCTAATTATTCAGTTCAAATCAATTTTTAATGGTGGGTGGTTTCAACTAAGGGCATTTTTCAAACAATTATTTACATTTGATGATGGTACGAAAAGATTCAACTTCATTTTACACTTTGCTGAAGTTTTTATGTATTGTACAAGAACAAATAATTTGGTTAACATGAAATGTTAAAAACTATAGAGTACATGCCTGCTACTTCAAAATTAGAAAGCACATATTTTGTGCAAAAATCTAAAATATGCAGGTTTCACACCAACACACTTCAAATTATAAAATTATAGAAATGGAACATGGCATTTATTGTATATATACCTCATTATTGGTCCTTCCACTTGTAAAGATATTTGCTATGATAACCAATAAACTTCCTTATCATCTCCCACTGATATCCAATTATTCTAACAAAGACTGGCTGTACAATCCTATATACCAGTAACTGCCTGTGTTACTGTCTAAATATACCCCCTCAAACTATAAGAGAGCAAGTTTCATGAAGGGACCAGGAGTGCTAACGTTTGAAGCCATGTATCACTGAGCAAAGTCTCACCGTAAGTCTGGCTTGTAACACTTTGTTGAGAGTGAGCACATCTGCCCAGCAGCCTGATGAAGCCATCATGGTCTTTGGTGTCAGTGGAAACACTTTATCCTGCTCACGGGAGAAAATGTTGAACCCTCGAGATAAACGGGTATCGCTGGCAATCATCACAAAGTCATCACCAGCAATGGCCACAGATGTGCTGTACAAGAGTATAGAAATAAGGGTAAAACAGAAGTGAAATGCCATCACTTGTTTATTGAAAACAAAATGCAATTATGAGGTAAGGTAAGTTGCAAATGGTAAACATATGTATGGTCAAGATCTAATTATGCACAGGCTTTTGCACATAACTGTGATAATACATGGATACTGAATTTTAAAAGATGAAAATTTATACATCATACTGGACTTAAGTTATAAAAAGCTGTGTAACAACTCATTTTAAAGGGTTCCCTAGGCTGGGGTTGGAAACTATTGTGATTTCATACAAAATTAGACAGATTGTATAACTTTGATATACCTTTTGATAATTCTGAGTTTTTCTACTACTGGAGCCCAACCATGGTCCAGGCTCATCTGGTGCTAGCCTAGTCACCCAGGCTGTTACTGCTGGTGGCCTGCTGCCCCACACATCTATCACAGCCTGGTTGATCTGGCAACTGATGAAGATTCTTGTCCAGTTTCCTCTTGAAAACTTCTACACTTGTCCTAGCAGTGTTTTTGATATCTTCTGGTAAGAAGTTAAATAATCTAGGCCATGGATGTTAGTAGTGTTCCCTTGTGTCCACTGCACCCGTCCTTTTCACTAGGTGTAATATGCACTTCTTCCTACATCTCTCGCTACAGTATGTTATGGCGGTGTGCAGATTTTGGACCAGGTCCTCAATTATTATTATTGTTATGGGGAGCACTAAATATGTAGGGATTATAATGGCTGTGGGGGGGGGGGGGATGAAAGGCATGCAGGCTTAATTCAGGATATTGGAGGACAGATCCAATTCCCTAAATCATGAACCCCTCACCAGCATCAAGGAACCTCCCCTGAGGGGTACACCATGCCCTCAAGTACTTTCCAAGTACATATATTATCATGACACTCTCCTCTGCACCAGTGAGTACATATTTAAGAATATGGCATTCTCAGTAATTTCAATGCTTTATTGGCTCTATGCAGGCCATAAACAATCTCTGCATTTGTTCCAGCTCTGATATTTCTGCTCTGAACAGGGCCAGGAAGCACTAGTGATTTGAAAAGTGTCACCAATGACATTATTTCCCTTGTTTTTAAGGTTCTCATTACTCACCCTGTCATCCTCCTGGCTGTGACGACCTTTGTCTTATTGTGTTCTTGGGACAGAAAGGTCAGCTGACATAATTATTTCAAGTCTTTCATGTGTTCCTTTTGTTCTATTTGACAATCCTCTTGTTTTGTATACAGTGTTCCTTTTGCATTCTTCATTCTTTCCATACCTAAGCAGCTGGAACTTATCACCAATGAACATCGTGTTCATTGTTCTCTGCTGCCCACTGGAAAGCACTGTTTATATCTTCCTGTAATTTTATCAGAGTCATCTACTGAAGTGACTTTCATGCACATCTTAGTGTCACTGCAAATGATACAAAACTGTGATGGGTGTTATCAGTCTCTACTACGAGGATGAGAAACAGCAGAGGTGACAGGACAGTGCCTTTTACCCTGCTGATGCTGGATTTTGCTCAGTTTACTACTTTTTGTGTTGTGTATGTGTGTGTGTGTGTGTTAGAACCCAAATATCCATCTGCCTACCTTCCGTGCAATGCCTACGGCCCTCATTTTGTGTGCAATCACCACATAATCACATCTGTCAAACACTTTTGCAAAATCTGTGTATATCATATCTATTTTGATTGTCTTCCAACACCTCTGTATTTCTGTCATAGTGGTTCAGAGCTGTGATAAGCATGATCGTCGTGCTCTAAAACCATGCTGGGTTGGGTTATGCCTATTGTGCTGCTCCATGAAATTTGTAATCTGAAATCTCATCACTCTTACGAAGATTTTTACGACAGGGAAAGTTAAGGCTACTGGTCTAATTTTTAACTAGTGCTCTACTACCTCATTTATGTAAAGGAGTTATGTCTGCACTCTTAAAGTCTCCAGTATTTCACCTACATCTAGGTTCTTTCTCCAAAGAATACTGAGGCTCTTAGTAGTGATACTTTGCACTTTTTCATAACTAGGGCTTTCCATGAATATAGTCCCAGTGCTGAGTGGCCATGATTTCAGTTTTTTTTTTTTTTAATTTATTGGATTAATACTCATGACAGTCTGTACGACCTTCCGCTGGAGTGAAAAATGCTCTTGCATTCTCTAGCATGCTGTCAATTGGCGAGTTGCTGAACACCAACTCACTCTTCTTTAAGAATTTCACTCATTTCCCATTCACTGTTAATATACGAATCTCCTTTAATTAATGGTCGAACTCTACTGGCAGTTCATAGCTTGGATTTTGCATATGAATAAAAATACTTTGAATTTCTAGCAATATCCTGGATTCCAGGGATGGCACCAAGGTGGGGCTTGTCTCCCCAGAATTTCCTTAATCCCCAAATAAGAATTATGAGAAGGGCTAAACCCAAAAGGGTCTTGCTGAAATGCACTGCACAATTAATGGATTTCTTTGTACCTACTATTTTACTCGTGTACCTTACATTATCTGTATTCTTAAAGAAACAAAACTTTATCATTATGATCGTCATTATCATAGTAATAATAACCAGCCTATTTCCCACCCCAGTATAAAAAAATTATGGGACAACCCCCTGGGGTTGGGTTGGCTGCAATAATTAAATGAAGTCTTTTTATGTTTAATTTTATGTAAAAATTGAATTTTATGGATTACTGTAGTAGAAAGACAAAGTTAGCCGCATCTCACCCGCCATTATTAGCGTAAGGGCTGAACTGATGCTTCCTGGGATCCCGCATGTAGTCTGGCCCACTCATCATCATCTCTAATGCCATTTTCGAGGAATAATTTCAATCGCCAGTCACAATAATTCCCGTCAGAGTGTGTGCAGCAGTACAGTGTTGTGAGCATCAGTGTCGTGGCGGCTCAGCTGCTCCAGTCATCTTCAACACCTCGACTTCTTCACCCTCACTAACTTGTCCGAATCCCTTTACGCCACTCTAACCTTTAACAAAACTATATAATATTATACTTCCGTGAGATAAACATCACTTTTACTCAAACTCAGTATTTTATAAAAACCACTTTTAAGTACTTCAATTTTACTTTTAATTTAAATTAGTCCTGAGAAAAATTAATAACTGAAGTCAGTTTATATGTTTGAAAAACAATGGTCGACGCTTTACAATGTAAATATTTACGAATATTATAATACATACACAAATACAGTTTATGTACAGCTTAATATACACATTATATTATTATTAAAAAAATTACTAGTGTCTGAGAATTATGCATTTAATGTTAATTTTAGCAGAAGAAACTCTAAGCAAACTTCACATATCTTAAGAAGAATGTTCATTCATTGAAGGAGCACTTTAGAATTTTTAGCAGTTTTATATTGTGTGTTTTGCAAAATTCTAAACCCGTATAGCTAATTTAGAAAAAAAAATAGCGGTGGCGGCTCGATGCTCCGTAAGTAAGTTTATTCAGATATACAAATACAGTTACATAGATTATTATACATAACAGCATACGTACCACAATCAGCCGTGCTCACATTATACTATTCACTAATCTATCCCTTCCTCACCTATGCTATTTGTGCCTGGGGATCAACAGCAGCAACTCACCTAAAGCCAATAATAACCCAACAGAAAGCCGCAGTAAGAATTATCACGCAATCCAATGTAAGAGCACACACACCCACTCTTCAGAGACCAAAACCTTCGGTTAGGTTAAGTAAGGTTTGTCAGGAAACATGACAAGTGTTTCCTGACGAGGGTCTAGTCAGATGATGACCCGCCTTTGGAGCTGGCTTACCGGTCCACCCCTCTGAAAATAATGGTCATTTATAACCAATTCTTATAACCTAAGCCTACTCAAAGTACAGAACAGTCACGCCTACTATTGTGTAATCTACATTTACAGAACCATAAACTCTAATTTTAACCCGGAACTAAAAACAGTTTCTTGATAGTTGCAACAGCACCCATAGACACGACACCAGACACAAAAATCTCTATGACATTCCCCGTGTCAGGCTAAACCTCTACAAAAATTCGATGTACATAAAAGGTCCTAGAATCTGGAACTCCCTGCTTGAAAACTCTAGAACCGCAGACTCAACCACCATTTTCAAAACTACCGTTAAAAAACATCTCATCTCCCTAACACACCCCATCATCAGTTAACCAAATGAAAACCACCCAATGCTCTTTTTTTGTATCATGAATCCATCCAAAACAATTTAGACTTAAAGTTATCTGTACTTCCCCCATAATTTCCACCCACCCAAAGGACTGTTAACATGCAATTCCTAATATATCTTGTGGAAAATACTGTATATTTTCCGGAAATAAGGTAATTTATAGGTAAATAGATTGCCTATATTGTATATAATAAAAATTGTTATCGAAAATGGGAAGAAGCCTGCGCCTGCACAGAAGAGACTCGCCATTTTGTTTGAATTGAGTAACAGACATTAGTGAATAATGTGAAGAATTTTCGTCCTCTAGAGGTAAAATTGGGCTGACACCTCTCAAATAGGAGGCGAAATTGTTGGATGTGCATTCCTGCATAACTTGAGATATCAGGCGACTGGACAAGACAGCTCCAGGAACCTCAGATAAGTCTGTTATGTTTAACTCTGGTCAGTGTTATTTCACGTATAGACAGAGAGGTTTTCTGAGTATGATACACATTAATCTCCAGTCAAATCTGTTATGTGTATGTGTATATATATAATCCTTTATTAATTTAATATACAGTCCACAAATTTATATATTTACCAGAATTCCTGGTGATGTATATTTCATTTGTAATTAATAGGTCCAGAGCAACTTGTGGATATGACAGTGGTCTAACTGATAAATAATAATTATCTTTGTTCATTTACTGTTATGTACATAATGATACATTCAGATAAATGCAATTTTCCACATATCTATTGCCCATTAAATTTTAAGTTAGTCTTATTAAATCTTAAGTTAATCCTAAGTTTGCCCGGTAGCCTGGTGGCTAAAGCTCCCGTTTCACACACGGAGGGCCCGGGTTCGATTCCCGGCGGGTGGAAACATTTCGACACGTTTCCTTACACTTGTTGTCCTGTTCACCTAGCAGCAAATAGGTACCTGGGTGTTAGTCGACTGGTGTGGGTCGCATCCTGGGGGACAAGATTAAGGACCCCAATGGAAATAAGTTAGACAGTGCTCGATGACCTGACTTTCTTGGGTTATCCTGGGTGGCTAACCCTCCTGGGTTAAAAATCCGAACGAAATCTTATCTTATCTTATCTTACCTAAGATACTCCTCCACTATGGTTTTAATACAATGTTATCATGCCAAAACAAATCGAATCCCATTACTAAATCTACCTTCGAACGCAGGCTAGGGAGAGATGCATGATAATATACACTTGGAAGGTCCTGGAGGGATTGGTACCAAACCTGCACACGAAAATCACTCCATATGAAAGCAAAAGACTCGGCAGGAGATGCAATATTCCCCCGATGAAAAGCAGGGGCGCCACGAGTACATTGAGAGACAACACAATAAGTGTCCGGGACCCAAGACTGTTCAATTGCCTCCCAGCATACATAAGGGGGATTACCAATAGACCCCTGGCTGTCTTCAAGAAGGCACTGGACAGGCACCTAAAGTCAGTACCTGACCAACCGGGCTGTGGTTCGTACGTCAGCTTGCGTGCGGCCAGCAGTAACAGCCTGGTTGATCAAACTCTGATCCACCATGAGGTCTGGTCTCAGACCGGGCCGCGGGGAGTGTTGACCCCCGAAACCCTCTCCAGGTAAACCATTTGTACCTATTTTAAAGCTAATTATGTTTGTACCTGAGAATGTATCTAATTATGTACCTAATAATATGTTCAAATATGACCTATATCAAAATAGCGTAAGACTCAGTATTAGTCTGCCCGAACTGCCTAGGCACGATAGTGGCCATCTTTGTAATTAAAATCTTATAACATGTAAACCACACATTGTAAGCTTTACAAGGAAATAACTATTTGTATTTGTATATGTAGAGTATATGTATATGTGAGACCTGGAAATGGGAAGTACAATGCCTGCACTTTAAAGGAGGGGTTTGGGATATTGGCAGTTTGGAGGAATATGTTGTGTATCTTTATACGTATATGCTTCTAAGCTGTTGTATTCTGAGCACCTCTGCTAAGACAGTGATAATGTGTGAGTGTGGTGAAAGTGTTAAATGATGATGAAAGTATTTTCTTTTTGGGGATTTTCTTTCTTTTTTGGGTCACCCTGCCTCGGTGGGAGACGGCCGACTTGTTGAAAAAAAAAATATGTAGAGAACCTAGGATAACCCAAGAAAGTCAGACAGTGAATTATGTGAATTATGTGAATGTGAATGTGAAATTTCGATTGGGGTCCTTCATGGCGACTTCGTACTTGACTGAAGAAGGTGTAGATCAGTTGACATTTTAAGCATGTGGTGGGCTGGCAGCAACCAGCGTGGTGGTAAGTGTTCTGGTGGTACCAACAGTACTCACTCACTTAATGTGTTGTTAATGGTACAGTGACGTGTTGGTGTCATGTTCATGAGTTATAACTACGAAGTTTTTTTTTTTTATATTTTATTTAAAACCAATACAGTTTAACATAAAAATAAAGAAACAGTATGGAACCTAATCAAATTAACTGACAAACGGATTGTACTTACATGCTCGCAAGATATTACAACAAAAACTTACATCAAGAACATAACTAAAAACAAAATTACATGTCACAGGGTCATGAATTGACATATATACAAAACCTTGCATATATATAAATTGTACATATAAATGACATCTGACAAAGGTTCAATACACTTGAACATAAAATATACAAAGAAGTTATATCAGTTAAATCCCATCCTTCACATTAATCAAAAAACCAAAACCTAACATCATAATCTGACTAGATAATCAACATACTTATCCCTAACAATACAGCTGAACATATCCCAACATACAAATAAACAGAAAAGAATACAGCTTAGAACACAATAACAAGCTCTATACTGTTACAATACACCCATATAAAACTTTCAGACAAATGGATACGTCACTAAACTGTCTAGATATGTCTGTATACCATACAGACTAAAACTTAACATCAAGAACTTGCATGAACACCAAACCGGTATCAGGGTACAGACCATAATTATAAACTTTAAAAAGAATCAATCATGCGTATATAAAGTATTACATAACGTCTGACCCATGACAAAGGCTCAATACAATAGAAAGAGATATATATTTATATATATACACATACACACCCACACACCCACACCCACATCCACACACACACCCACACGTACACAAAAATTTTCACAAAATCACATTAATCATATGCACTGTATGCACAATGCAAAACAGGATATAAGTATCTCTCATCGTGCAAAAACCCAGCACGTAACATAAATACAAACTAAAACACACTGCATGTCGCAAATAACTTATTTCTCAAGAATCATGTTATACAAGACTGATACACATCATAATTATACATAAAAAATCTACTATATTATACCTACATTCTGAAAAGTGTTATATCTACCATAACGAGACCTTGAGCTCTACATCCACACTTGGATGCCATAAAGTCCCAATGAAAACCAGGAAACCATTCCAAACCCACATTCACAACACTCTCACGACCCCCCCCCCCCCAGGGAGGCGAGCCCGCTGTTGCCCCCTGACTCCCTCCAACCTATGAAAACCCCTTCATTCACTCATATCCAATCACAGATTTACGAGAATCCCTAACGTTAGCATTCTATACCCCTCTGAGAAAGCCTGATCCCACCTCCTCCCATACAAATCTCTGTTACGACACCTCGTACTATAGAACGTTACCGCAAGAACCTTTCTTCTCTCCTCACTATCCCCTCTCCCCCTCATCACCCACGACATATATATATAATCTACCATGATATAAT